TTGATGCATTTATAGTTTTTGCTACTTTGGAACGGGTGACACTAGTGTAACAGGAACTCCTTATCCTTCCGGAGCACCCTCGTTTCAAGTGACCCGCTGGTTTTGGAAGGGTTTATGTTGATCAATCTTTTGTTTTCTATGTAGTGTTTCTTGGACCGTAGTTTTTTCTGTTAGGTTGTTTTCTTTTAATCGAGTGTTGTCCGTTTTACTTCGATTTCAAGCTTATATAACGGGCAAGGGAAAGAAGAGGAGACTATTTTGGTACAGTGAGAGGGAAATAAGGCGTTACTTTATCTATCGAACAAGCGCATTATACATTTATTTGTTTTGCAAACTATGCATTAACTATACTAGTATACAGAATTTTTTAAGCCAAACTTATTGGTGAAACATATTGATTGACACTCGAGATCATCCAGATAAATATTTTATTTGATCAAAGAGAAAACCATGACTGCTTTCACATTAAAATATGAAATTAAGATGACCTAATTAAACCAAAAATAATTTGTTCTAAAGTACTCAAATTTTGTAGAGAAATCTAAAATAAACAGAAACAGCCATGGTTTTATCGATTGCATAGGTTAATTTAATCTTGTTATATTGTCAATGATAAATGAGACGATGACAAAATTAAACATGAAACAACAAGTGTTGTATTAAAATACAAATAACATTTGTACATGTAATGTTACAACATTTAATATTATTTAATAATAGACTCAAAGAGCTGCAAGTGTCATGACCAATAACCAGCTCAATAGCTGCATTGGCCCTGTAAACTTAACATCAGTTTTGTTACCTGCTCAATATATAATATATATTATTTTGTTGTAATTTATCTAGAGCTCAGTCCGTTTTGCTATATATTTCCACCGTAGCAACACGAAACAAACAAAGCTTCATCGAATCTTCATATGCAGAACTTGATATATATATAGTAAACATATATTAAACGCTGTTCAAAAGAATGATTTGTTGCCAGTATTTGCTGCTTACCGGCTAAGAACTCGTTAACATACAAAGGGGAAAAGACCTAGTCAACGGCATCAAAACTAAGTTTTAAAGGTAACTTACTGCATATTGAAAGCAAAAACTGATAAAAGAAGAGGTACAGAAATTGGTACCTATTAAACACGATTAGAATCTTCAACAAAAACGAAGCAATACAAAGTCTATTTGATTTTTTTTTATCGCGCCCCATTTAGGAGTTAGGGCTTAAAACATTGTTTTGATGCGACAAACACTTTTATGAGGGTCTGGAGAAGGGGGGTCCTTAATTTCTTTGTTCTTTATTTTTTCAGGCCATTTTTCTCTATCCTTTATTTTCTTTGGTCCATTTTTCTCTATTCTTTATATTCTGCAATTCCTCATTATTTAGCTAATAAAGAGGAAACAAAACCATATGTATCCATAGTCATCAACATTGCGTATTGTATCTTCAAGTTTATTAAAGACGATAATTTTATGCTTTCGGCTTTGATTTTGACAGCTCTAAATGCAATTTAATGGGCCAACAACGTTAGTCACATTGGTAGATACATACTTATTACAAGAACCTAGGAATTTCTATGCTCGAATGTATAGTTCCTAGCGCGGATAGTGTATTTTCCCGTACAACTTCTCAATTTATTTTCTCATGTGTTATGCATAAAACAACAGGAAGGGAGATGAACTTTACATTTAAAATTTTTGATTTAAAATTTTAAGGTGAAGTTTGTTTTGGACATGTGGGTTGGCTCCAACATGGTCAAATCCGACCTGTGACCTTAGGAGACTTGGCATGCAACCTTGCGACCTGCAGTCTCATTCAAAAGGACATGTTACCTTTTCAAATGTTCAAAAACCGTGAATCAGATCAGTTTATAGCTGTAAAAATAGCATAAAAGTGACCTTTTGACCTGGGCAATTTTAAAACATGACCAACAGTGGACTAAGCGGGCTTCGCTACTGGAGCCTTAGCGCGAAATGTTGAAGAAAATAATGTTTGTGTTTCAGTTTTGTGTAATGAGTTATTTCCTTGTGTTATAGTCCAAAAAGCATTACACAGAAACTTAAAACTGAACAGTATGTATATATGTAAATAGATCATACCAAAACCATCTAGAATCCTGCTATAGACGATGTAATAGCTCCTGCTTCGCTAAATAGCACCCGCCCTGCTCCTTATGACATGACAAATCCAATGATAGTCACATATTCTTTGATAAATCATGAATAAGGATAGAAGGATGGACTTGTGTGTAAGCCCAAATAAAACAGACGGAACATATCATCTGTGACACCACGTAACGATCAACCAATTCAGGAGGTTTACTGCAAAAGATTCGAAGTAATAACTTCCAACTTTACCATTAGAAACCTTTGTTAGTAGTTTCCTTGTAAACAGCGCGTCTTTATCCTGGAAATATCGACAGGAGGCACATCACTGGTTTGTCCTATTAACCAATAGATATATGTTCTGAAGAACCATCTATATATACCAATATCCTCCCGACTGTCACGTGTCATTAATTTGTCAAATCAAAGTCCCTGCACCATAGTCTGAAGAACCATCTCTATATATACCAATATCCTCCCGACTGTCACGTGTCATTAATTTGTCAAATCAAAGTCCCTGCACCATAGTCTGAAGAACCATCTCTATATACCAATATCCTTCCGACTGCCACGTGTCATTAATTTGTCAAATCAAAGTCACTGCACCATAGTCTGAAGAACCATCTCTATATACCAATATCCTCCCGACTGTCACGTGTTATTAATTTGTCAAATCAAAGTCCCTGCACTCTAGTCTGAAGAACCATCTCTATATACCAATATCCTCCCGACTGTCACTTGTCATTAATTTGTCAAATCAAAGTCCCTGCACCATAACCTGAAGAACCATCTCTATATACCAATATCCTCCCGACTGTCACGTGTCATTAATTTGTCAAATCAAAGTCCCTGCACCAAAGTCTGAAGAACCTTCTCTATATACCAATATCCTCCCGACTGTCACGTGTCATTAATTTGTCAAATCAAAGTCCCTGCACCATAACCTGAAGGTTGTTGTAATGAGTTTTCTTGTATTTCTAAAGATCTTAGTTTTTGGACAGAGTCATTAGAGAAAATCGATATGGAAACATCTTAAGATAAATAAGCCTTGTCTTTTAGGAAAACATTACAGTCGCTTCAAACAGATTTGTACTTTATAGAATAAGGATTCTATCTATTTCATTGATAAAATTTAATTGCACGCAGGTGGTCCCGATTTTAATAAACACATATATATATATATATAATTTTCTAATTCCACGTTAGGTTAAGATAGCTTTCAGTTAAAAAAAAAAATCTTAATAAAATAGAAAAATAGAAAAATGCCTGAAATAAGCAACCTGAATGGACCAGCATCCACAATAGAAAGGGATAATGTTTAGTGAGAGGGAGTGGAAAGAAGAAATATAATATAACAAAAAAGTATAACAAAAATACCGAACTCAAAGGTAAATCCAAAAAGGAGAAGTATATGAAAACTGACAAAATCAAATGTTATCAACCTACGGAACGAGTGAAAAACAACCGTCATAGTCCCGTCTTGGTTCAAGCATTTTCCGAACAAAAAGGGTGGGTTAAACCTGTTTTTAAAGCTGGCTTAACCTCTCACTAGTATGACAGTTGTTTATAGTTCCGTTATATTGACAAAATTGGGTGAGCAACCCAAAGAGACATAATAGGTTATTGTGACAATAATTGGGATCCAGCAGCCAAGTATGTAAACACAGACATACAACATAACTGATTATAGAAAAATAGGAAATACTCCCTATACAAGGAACATGATTAAATCATTTGCTTGTGTCTTTTTTTTTTTTATTTTTTGTTATCTTGTTTTTGGTTTAATGCTTGTTGTAAATAAAAAAAAATATGTTGATTTAAAACGAAAATACTTATTACCCCCCCCCCCCCCATGCTAATTAGCAGCTTAAATGTAACTATCATCCTGAAGTCTCTGGTATTATTTACTTGTTAATCCACAATGATGTTGTCCAAGACTGTTCTCGTCAATATTTAACGTTAATCCTGCCATGACTCTTAGAATAATCACACTCTGATGATTGTGGTATAATTAGTTGACGCTGATCAATAGCCATGATAATAAATAATCAATTCACTGGACATTCACAAAGAGTCGTATTATTACATAGCAATTATAGAAGCTGTTCTATAATGATGTTAAATTTTGTATTCAGTTTAGCATGTAAATGTTTGAAGTGCCACCCAGTGAATCAAATCATTCAATAATTAGATTTTTTATGTGTGCCATACTAAATTTGATACAACTTTTATATACATGATCTCTTTCCTGAATAAAATGGCTAATATTATCAATAAAGTAATCAAATTAACATGCCAAAGAAAGAACATCCAGCCCCATGATAAGATATAAAAAAGAAACAAAACTGACATCTGAAACAAAAATCACTAAAGAACTAAAATCAAATCAAACAAAGGAAACCGTCCCCATTAAAATCAAAATAAAAAAAAGAATAAAAAATGTAAGTTTCTTCTTTTAGGGTTGTTTTCATAATAATGATATTTATAGAAAAAAACTAGATATGCTACGTTTTCCATTCAGGATTAAACAAAATATAAATATTACAAACGAAAGTTTTACACAGAAATAGATGCCAAAAACAACAACTTTAAATGACGAAAGAGAAAAAAATTAAGTTAAATCACATTTTTCTATAAACTTTTATGGATATTTGTACATTATTATGATATATTTTTAACGCTTCCATATAACGTTGATAAAATTTAAATGTATTCAGTTGTTAAACCATGTATAAAAACCCATTATACATCTGGTAGAGTTAAGTATAACAGACCCGAAAAACATTTTCGCTGTTCCCTGTGGAATAGGGAATCGTTTTTCATATTGAATAACTATTGATTTCAAATGATTGAAATCCTTAATGTTATTAAAATTCAATTAAAAATAGTGCGAATCTCACCTCTACTGAACCACAACAGAACATTACAGCTTTCCGCACTTCTCTCGACAGACAGCAAACCCACGGCAAAAGCATTGATAATCCCTTCCTTGATCCAACAAGGCATGCCTCCTATGGGTTCCCTTTTAGGGACACACTTAGTATATAGAAATAAATTTATCTACACATTACAATGAACCGTAGTACCACATTCCGTTTCACATCTCACTCAGACGACACTAACAGACGTTTAAAACGATGCCGAGCTGTCAGTGCTATATAGTATTGACCCAAATGTTGGAGAGCACAAAAGATATAATTAATAGTAAATTATTGTCGTTTCATCAATGCGTTCAAGGCAAACATACAACATGCTTTCATTATGAATAAACCTGCATTAATAATTATTTAATTAACTGTCGACAATCACTTTCTCGCCTTCTGACAACAAGAAATAGTGGAATAAACGATCAGTGGTCTATCAAATATTCATTATGCTATTATTGGACTAGCATAACTTGGGAATGTTAGAAGATATCTCAATAATATACATAATAGTAATCATATTAACATGCATAGAAATATTCTCCTTAATTGTTAATATCTCAAATCCCGATCAATGCTAAAACTTGGACACAACATACTTATAAAGATATTGATTAAATGTTGTCATGGAAACAAAAAATGCATTGTCAACTACACATTTATTGTAAACTCTCAGAGAGAATGCAAATATTTATAAATGTTTAATTCTAGATTGCATGATTGGTGTTTCTGATTCAAAGAAACAGCGAACCGTTGTTTTAACGTTTTGTAAATTAAATTGATTTGGAAAGTTTGGATCGAACAAGTCATTATCATTGTTTTCCAAAGCAAACAATTCCACTTTGTTTATTGGTACAGGAAATGTTTATTGAATAAAATGTGTTATTGAAAGTACTTGAAACAGAAGTACTTCAGAAATCTCTTTGAACTACATCACACATTTCCTTTCAATAAATGTTCAAGACTTATGTTCAATTATCAAATCTTGATCCAAATTGTTTGTTTCTTTTTGAATAATGTATAAAACATATATAATTATGCCATATATATATACCTGTTACAGTATGATACCTACAATATTGATTTGAAAATATATCAGAAACAACTGTGATAAATTAAGACCTTCCAATACGAAAAAAAAAACAAACCACCCACTGTTTACCAAAAGAATAGACTCCTTGCCTCCAGCGACGAAAGCGCTAACACCATACGGAAACCGCTTTGTCAACCTAATCTGTGCAAATATACATAAATTCACTAAAATGATCAGCAAATTCCCCCCTCCAAAACAGACATAACCAATTACGAAGTTCTTGACTTGTGTTTAAATTGTTTTGTGAATACTTGCACACCCTCCTTAACCGGCTATCATTATCGAAAAAATGTAAGAGTTAAATTAAATCAGAAAAAAGTAAAAATGGGGAGAATGTACCAAGGACCAATCAAAAGCCATGAATGAAGGAAAGATATGACAACTCAAAGACAAGCAATAAAATAGACGAATAGACAAGCAACAGTCTACAAGACATTGTATACAATCTATACAGTACACCAACCATTGTGCAATACTAACCACAAACAAAATCAGACAGACCCAGAACTACAGCCGTTATTGTAAGAACACTTATGGAATTCGAGTATCTAGTATAGGTGAGAGAGAGAAAAAAATCCAGCTCTTAAATTTGGTTGGAACTAAAATGGGCATAAAACCGTTCTGCATTGTTCATTGTAAATGTTACTGGGGTTCCACGTAAAATGTAAGCGCTTAATTTGATAATTGCTGTGTTAATGAAATCAGTGCGCAGCTACATAAATAAATTGTATCAAACACAATGTTAGCAGTTCTGTGAGCAAGCGAAAAGTAATTTATCTGTTGATAATGAAATCATGCTTGCTTAATAACATTTGATATTGAACACGCTGTGCTTCTAAATAGATTTCATTTGCCATTATTGTGCATTGTAAACTTAAATAAAAGAAGAATATGTCTATGGGAATGATGCCTCCGCTTGTAAATATGCAAGAGTCAGTAAAGGAACATAACTTGTGAATGGTGAAAGTGACGCAATCCAAATGCGAACTTGATTTGTGTTTGTTGGTAATAATCATTGTGTTTAATTTTCATAACAGTTGGTTTAGGCAAAGTAAAGTAAGGGTGCGGAAACGGCAAATTCAGTAATTTTTCCATTTATTTCCGTTATATCGATATATTTATTTTGTTACCTCGATATAATCATATCGTTATATCGATATAACTAAATCGTTATCTCAATATATTTATATCTCGAAATGTATTTCTTACTCTAAAAGAAGTATATAAATATATGCAGTGTTGTATGGAACTTGTATATGTATATATATTTATAATTCCATGTATACTACCAATGAAAGCTACTATGTAATTATCATGCATTTATATTTCTTATATTGTATGCTCTTATCATATTATTATGCATAGGGAACTTTGTATTTTTTTTAACTTTAAGGATAAAGTGGACTTTTTTTATCTTTCTATTGCCCCTGGATAGATGGTATTTCTGTAAACAGGGAACCTTAGTCTGTTACCTTGACTACTAAGATAACTGTAAACAGGAAATATTTTGGAATAATAATAATAATAAAAAAGGCTCTTGCTTTTACGATTTTCAAGATATTGTCAAAATTATGATGAAAATTTTGAAAAATTGCAAATAAATGGCCATAGCTCTTAAACAAGTTTTCCGATCAACCTGAACTTAAATTTCGGAAGAGGCAGATCATTATGTACTTACCCTCTGCTAGAATTTCGATATCTGTAAAAAAAAAAATTTAGTTGCAAAACAGCCCTTTTGACAGTCGGCGTCCGCCATTTTGAAAAATTGGGGCCATGGCCGTTCTGTGACGTCGACAGTTTTTATAGGAAAGACGTTCAAATCGTGGGTGGTGGGGTTCAGAAAAAAATGCCCCTCCCCCCTCCCCCAATACATATACTTTTAATTTTGGAACATAAATATATCGAGATAACGATTTAATTATATCGATAAAACAAAATTAATATATCGATATAACGATATAAATATAGAAATAACGATATAATATATCGAGATAACGATATAATATATCGAGATAACGATATATATATATTGAGATAACGATATAATATTTTTTTTAGGTCCCCTATAGGCTTACGTATTATAATGTATGTGTATTTTAGAATAGACACTATCTTATTAACCATCGAGATGATCTCTGAAGAATTCCGTATGTCATATGCACAGGTAAATGGCATTGTGTATAAGTTTTACAGGCACTTGTCTCTGAAAAATAACTTTGCATATATATACCTTAGTGTTATATTAAGGTATATATGGATTTTCTTTCAGAGACAAGTGCCTGTGGTCATATGACCTGATGTAACATAAATATTAATATCAATATTCAGGCAAGTACATGCAATCTTAAAATGACGTTTTTTCTAAGTCTGTTTCTTGTCATTAATTAAAAAAATGTAAATCATCGTTTTACCTGTATTTGAATGATTTTTTGTCTGAGTTTTTTGTGGGCAGAATCAGTCATCGAAATGGAACTTCCCGGTGGCTGCCTTGTTTCACTTTTCAATGTCGACATTCTTTTCTTTTTAATAATTAACCATGGTTAGCTCATGCGAAGCCCATCCCAGTTAAGGGTTAAATTGAAGTTCCCATGAAGTCAGATTCAAATGAGTTGAATTAATGACTTGCAAGTCAATTGTACATCATCAATGTCTTTGAGCTTATTTTGATAAATGTTTGTAACAAAAAAAATCATATTTTGAGTTTTTGCCAACTTCATAGCTAATGCCCCTTTGTAAAGGTTTTACCAAATAAAACATCTCAGCAAGTTAAGAACCCTTGCAACAACACTTCGAGGGTCCGTTTGTGGCATGTTACAAGGCTAAATTTCGGTATATACCCTAATTTTCCAGTGGCAATCCAAACTTCCGGCCCTTCATCCCGGTCGCTCATATACAGGACCTACATGTTGTATTTATCGTTAATTTGTTCTTGTCCTGAACATGAAATATTTACCACTCGACGTAAAGCAAACAACAATCAATCAACCAACAAAGTAAATAAAAAGTAAAAAAAACTGTTAATTTGGTTTGTTTTCGATAAACATTTTAGGTGGTGTGAAACCTTTTTTTCAAATTAAAATCCAACAATTATTCTTTAATGTTAGGATAGAATGTAATACCAATCTTAACAAGTTATGATGTCAACATCCTTGATCTTGTATCTTTTTTATGATTAAAATGTTGTGTTCATGATGAGAAAACACAGACACAGCGAACTAAATGATTTTTTTTTAAATCTTAGAACTCTTTGGAAGATTACCAACGATGGCAAATCATTCCATATGACATCCCATTGGGTTGGAACTTCTTATATCAAGATAAAAAAACAGGATAATTGTTTGATTTCCATCTTATAAAAAAAAATACTATTGTAATTATATTTTTGCGTCTGGGATTATTTTGAATTGGTATCAGTTCGCTTACGTATCCTTTGAAGCTATACTAAAAAAAAAAATTTTTCTATATTGCATTTCTGTACAACTTTTCTTTGAGCATTACACAAGATCGTGTCGTCAAGTGCTCTGTTCACGACGACGCTACTGTTTGAAATCTACACAGATGCAGAGTTTTAAAATGTATGAACATTGCATATGGCGAGACCAAACAGGCTTCATGAGCACCCAAAACTACTTCCCCTTTTAATTTCGATTATAATTGAAGTAGTGCAATATCATGCGAAATTTGCATTTAAATAAATGATAGGCATTATAATTAAAATATTGTGATGGTCAATCAGATTTTAAAGTCATATAAAACAAACATTCTTTTAATCACGGTTTTCCCTCGCATTTGAGCAGTGCGTTTCTGAAGATTTTGATAAGATAAAGGATTTACTTTTAACAAAAAGTTCATGTACACGGTTTTTATAGACTTTATATCTGATGTTCAGTAGTTGTCGTTTGTTGATGTGGTTCATAAGTGTTTCTCGTTTCTCGTTTTTTATATAGATTAGACCGTTGGTTTTCCCGTTTGAATGGTTTTACACTACATGTAGTAATTTTTGGGGCCCTTTATAGCTTGCTGTTCGGTGTGAGCCAAGGCTCCGTGTTGAAGACCGTACTTTGACCTATAATGGTTTACTTTTATCAATTTTGACTTGGATGGAGAGTTGTCTCATTGGCACTCATACCACATCTTCTTATATCTATTTATAGTAAAATAAGCCATTCAAGTACAATGTATATAAGCTATTCAACTTTTTTTCAATTTGAAATATCATATTACTTTAAAGTTCAAACTCCAGTTTTTTCATCAATGACAAAAAAATGCATAGTTATGGTACATATATTGTCTAAACAACATTTAGATTTTTTATCTGGACTAGAATCTCAACAATAACATAAACATATTCAAATTGAGCAGTTGATCTGGTCTCAATGTTGGTATCTAACATTTCTTTTCTCTATTCTTTTATGGTTTTCATCTCGTATTGATAAGATTATAATATTGAAACTACGAATTAGCATAATTTATCCTATAAGATTACATTTACCGATGTGATCCATCGTCCTTGATATTATCCGAAATCAAGTCTATATTTGTTAAAGAATCACATGCAGGGGCTTTGAATTCTTGAAATTGCACTGTAAAACTAAGAAAACGAAGAAATTTGCGGAAGATGCTTAATGTAGGTCGAGTTTCTCTTTTATGAATATAGTATAACACAGCTCCTCAAATGCTACTGTCCAAGTAGTTTTGAATTCAACATCGTGCCCGTTCCTTTAGATTTGCACATCCAAATGAATATTTCAATTGATCTATTGCAATTTCACTAATTATTTTAGAAGTCATATTAAAACAATAAATAACAAATGACAAAATCTGAGCTCTATATTTTTGAGAATCAAAACGCCAAGTTCTCAGTCATATTTGAGAATAATGAAAACATTGGTAAACCGTCAAAGCTCATTTTTTCTTCTTCTTCGGAAGTTAACGAGGAGACACGCTTTTCTTTGCAGAGACAGTCTTAAGTTTGATGTATCCCACAAAATTTTGTTTTGTGTTTTATGAATGCCTTTTTTTGTCTGATTTCTTCACATCTTTCATATTAAGTTGTTTTCAACAATTTTATAAATTGCATAAAAAGAAATACATTTGTAGAGTTAGAATTCTAAAATTATTTAATGTAGAATTTAATGCATTCGATTGAGCAATGTTTTGTTGAACTGAAATTTACAAACTCTCGTACTTACGTCTGGAGACATATACAGTCCTTTTATCAGCAAATATATGATTCAGACTTTCACAAAACAAATGTATGTTTCGATAATACTGCTACACTGTTGGGACATTCAAGCATGAGCTTACAACAAAAGCTAATGCATACCATAATGATAACATCATTTTCAATATAGAATATTTCATGTTTCTTTAATGACTGCGTAGAATACACTCATACCTTTGGTAACAGATGAGTTTAATATTGATATTTTCAATATTCTAAATTATATTTATATAATGCTTTATGTGGTGAGATATCAAAGAAAACATGCAGCTATCATGGATTATAAAATGAACATTTTTTTAATATGTTTAGTGTGACTGTAAATCATCGTTTCAATATGATTTTATACATTGCTAACATATTGAATTGAAAGAGTTAATGGATTTTTAGAAAAGCAGTAACAAATGAAACATTCGTTGCCCCCTTTTAAAAAAACGGTTGAAGCCAACTTATAAATTCTGAAAAGAATACTGTAAGATTCCTTGTGCACTTGACTAACATCGTTATATATTCACTGGCCCAAAAAGTTAGAAGACGTGTATCGTGGCTTTGTTGTGACTTTAGCTAAATTAATATTAATCATGAAAATGCGATTTTTATAAATCATAATGAGACAGTTTACTATCACTTAATTTAAAAGGTGAAAACTGGACGTGTCTTACCGCGAAGCAATACATTGATGCAAAATCTGATAGCGGTTTATCCAGAGTACAGACCAAGTATGGAAGATAGTCAACAATAAAATTGAGAATGGAAATGGGGAATGTGTCAAAGAGACAACAACCCGACCAAAGATTAGAAAACAGCTCAAGGCCACCAATGGGTCTTCAACACAGCGAGAAAATCCCGCACCCGGAGGCGGGCTTAAGCTGGCCCCTAAACAAAAATGTGTACTAGTTCAGTGAAAATGGACATCACACTAAACTCCGAAACATACAAATGAACTAAAATTAAAAAAAACACACAAGACTAACAAAGGCCAGAGGCTCCTGAGTTTACTTCACGTACTTAAAATTTTGAAGACTGCAATAATCGTGTCGCATATATCAGCACTGAATCGATACCAGTGATTGTGAATTGTAAGTAACCATGGATATCATTCACCACCCGGTAACAAGAGGTTCACCACATGTTCCTTTTGGTAATATACCGCTACACAAATTTATCCATATTTGGTCACTATAAATTTTCCAAACCTCTGGTCTCGTGGTAGTATACTAGCCTCAAGTGCGGGTAGGTTCAAAGTCAGAACAACGTATCTCGCAAAGAGGCGGAAGATACGGAAAGGGACAATCAAAATTCATAAGTCGAAGGGAAAGCGACAAAACCATAAAAAAAAACCGAAAATGACGAAATGACGAACAACAGTCTACACAAACACTACCGTAACGTATTAAACTAAAGACTGAGCAATACGAACCGAGTGTGATCTTATGTAAGGAAAGGATAAGCAGATCCTGCTCCTCATGTGGCGCCCTTCGTGTTCACGATAAGTACAAATTCGGTGCTACGACATTTGAAGCATATACGTTGTCATCTGTACTTGGTTAATACATCAAATACGAGTCAATGACCCTTTGGTTATTCTATATCAATCAAACGGAAATTTATGTAGCAAAAAAATAAATTGTTAAAGAAAATCTATGGGCTGGTTTTTAAATTTTAGGATTTTTAGAAAATTTTAAAAAGATTTTTTTCCACGTTCATTCAAAACGAATTTACATCTATTTTAATTTTGAAAGAAATCATTCAATTATACTTCAGAACATTAAACATGTTAAAGGGATGCATGTTTTTTTAATTTTTAGTTTTTAGTTTAACACGCCGAAGTTAAATGCAAAATCTAATAACAATCTATGACCTTCATTAATCACGCTAAACAATCAACATAAAGACAAATGTGTAATCAGAGTAACGAATCAAAACTCCTCATTGGTCAGAAACTGCTTCTCAAGCTTTACTGTGACACATTCTATCACTCATAGGCTCCCAGTGGCTTTAAACCAGTTCTTAATTAAAATTTAACTCAATTTCATCCAGTCTGCGGGGACCTTGTATCGAAAGCCAGTAATGTGTGACAATTGAGGTAACAATAAAACTGAATTATCTTTTAATTTATTATTTGATACATTTTAAAGCGTAACACAGTTAAGATACCATCGTTAAATAATAAAAATGATCAAATATTCTCACATAAGAATGCGACATAAAAAGTAGCGCGATTTAAGATCATTTAAGAAATAAGGGATTATCTGTGCTTCAACACAAATCTCCCAATATATAAAATGTTCTTAGAATAACTCTGTTAAATAATTACTTTATTACTTTCCCTTTTTAGCTCACCTGGCCCAAATCCTTTGCTCTATTGAAGACAAAATTTACTTACTCAATTAAATACAAATGTCAAATAAGAAACAACCGTCAGACAGATTTTTTTGAAGAAAAAAAACATCCTAGCAATACTACTGGTCATGTCATATTTATCGACGTTTAAGCTGAGGGTGCTTCGGTTAACAAGTGAGTATGGTGTTCCCTGCTTTCTGTGCCTGTACGCACTCTCATAAGAGGATTACCACTGTCGCTTTTCTTTGTTGCATGAAATTTCCATGCTACGCTGAAGCACTCGATCTGCAAATCAAATGAAAAGTATATTAAATACACACATTTTTTAAATAAAAAAGTTTAAAAACATAGAGCTCTACGCAACGATATATTTTCATAAATGTTATCTGTAGTCTCAAATTTATGTTTGTTTACTTTTATTATTAGTATAAGTAAAATAATTAGTAGATTTAGTGGTAGAACTAGTAGTTGCAGTGGTAGAACTAGTAGTTGTAGTGATAGAACTAGAAGGTGCAGTGGTAGAACTAGTAGTAATAGTGGTAGAACTAGTAGTTGTAGTGGTAGAACTAGTCGTTGTAGTGGCAGTAGTAGTAGTGTTAGAACTAGTAGTTGTAGTAGTTGTAGCGATAGAACTAGTCGTAACAGTGGTAGAACTTGTAGTAGTATTGATAGAACTTGTAGTATAAGTGATAGAACTAGTAGTAGTAGTGTAAGAACTAGACGTAGTAGTGGTAGAACTTGTAGTTGTTGTGGTAGAACTAGTAGTTGTAGTGGCAGTAGAAGTAGTGCTAGAACTAGTAGTTGTAGCGATAGAACTAGTCGTAACAGTGGTAGAACTTGTAGTTGTATTGATAAAACCTGTAGTATAAGTGACAGAACTAGTCGTAACAGTGGTAGAACTTGTAGTAGTATTGATAAAACTTGTAGTATAAGTGATAGAACTAGTAGTAGTAGTGTAAGAACTAGACGTAGTAGTGGTAGAACTTGTAGTTGTAGTGGTAGAACTAGTAGTTGTAGTGGAAGTAGAAGTAGTGGTAGAACTAGTAGTTGTAGTGTTAGAACTAGTAGTTGTAGCGATAGAACTAGTCGTAACAGTGGTAGAACTTGTAGTTGTATTGATAAAACTTGTAGTATAAGTGATAGAACTAGTCGTAACAGTGGTAGAACTTGTAGTAGTATTGATAAAACTTGTAGTATAAGTGATAGAACTAGTAATAGTAGTGTAAGAACTAGACGTAGCAGTGGTAGAACTTGTAGTAGACGGTCTTTCTCCTTTGAATAACAAAAAAAGTTAGGAAAATTATATTAACACTTTCATTATTTTTATGTTGGCTTCGGTTTGATTATACAAAACAAATTAAATGACTTACTGGTACAAAGGGTTCTTTTCTATTTTCTACTTCAATTTTCTCTATTTCTTCTGGGGTAAAAAGTGTTAATCTGATCTGTTTTACTGCTTTCTTTCCTATCTCTACATAAGGCTTCTTCAGAACGACCTGTAACGTTAGACCTCGTGTTACAATAATTTTACAACTAATTTGTTTTTCTGCATTCGTTGTATCGTTTAATATATATTCGGTGTTCTTTTAAAGTAATTGAATCCTATGTTTAATTTTGTGATATTTTTAATATAATTTGCATATCTACACAAACTTGAATGTGGCATTCGTAACCTGACCAAAATCTATGTCAATTTCACTGGGATATACTCATGCGCGATATAAGTTGAAATTGGAAGTAAAGAAAAAGCCAAATGCTTTGGGATTAAACCCATTTTTCTAGAGGTTATGTGTGTAAACTAGGCAGCTGACTCACAAACTTTACATTATTCAGTTTATACATCAATAATTCTTAAAAAAAGTGTTGATTCTAATAATGCATTACTTCACCTTTATGATACTTCTTTAAAAGCAAAATACAAAATATGTAACGAGGGTTACGAAACGGTACCTTTCTTATTTGGAAATGAAAAAAAAAATGTTACTATTATGTACAAAGGGAGATGACACAAAATGTGCTTCTAATGTGTTTTTGTCTCGGTGTTCTAGCTAGATGATAACGATTTCCTCCGCGTAGACTATTCACGTCTTTGACAATTTGCGTACTTGACGTAAAATTAACCATGAGTTGATTTCAGTTTCTTTATGATGTAATTGTTTACAAATTATGCGAGCCTTCTAAAGAGGGTATCTGCTTTATGAAATCTGCATTTGTTGTCTCGAGTTTGTTGTAGCGATTAATATGTATGTTGTTCTTTTGTCAGTCTTTAGCATGTTTAGTTTTTTACTTTTTGTCGTTTTTCGTTTTTGCCATGGCGTTGTCAGTTTGACTACGAACAATAAGTGTGCATATCCCTTGATTATCTTCCGTCTATCTTTTAACATATTACAATCCTTAGGCATATTAGTAACAAAATGTTGCTTGTCTTGGTCCATTTCATTAGGTCGTTAAGTCTTATGGTATTAATGCTCTTAATATAATAATTTAAATGCTAATTGTATGGGAACATGTTTGTCACGCATTAAATAAAATTAAGTTTGTCATAGTAACATATTTGTATTATTATTTTTAGTAACAGTCCTCTTGATTGGTGTTCACACTTATAAAGTTCTTATCTTACCTAAACTATTTTATGGTTTTTCTCAAATTGTATATATGTATGTGTATGTACGTTAGTATCGTATACGGATAGTTGTAGGTGGTTAGTACAACACGACTTAAAATTTATTCAATAAGGGAGATAAAATGTCTATATGAAAATTGCCAAAAAATTTATTGACTTACAGAGTTCACTTGTGACCAGTCTCTTAGGTATTTCAGTATCTTCGATTCGTCCATTGTTAAACCATCGCTCTTTAATGTCTCCACCAATGAGTCTTCGGACAGCTCTGCAAATCCCTTTGATTTAAACACATCCTAAAAATAATCTTTCATGTCTTTAATTCATATTCATAACTGTTCGCACAATGTTGATATTTTGTTGCAAGAATTTTAACATTTGGGGATAGATCTATTGTGTAGTTGATATTATTGCAGGAAAACCCAGTTTGAAAATTTGATTTTATTCTTCGGAAAATCTTTTTGACTTTTGCTGATTTTTAAAAAAAACTTTAAACAATTGAACTTATGCTTTGTTTGTATGTAGTTTCATGGTATATACTGACTAGCAAAAAGAGTCTCGAAAGTGAAAAATATTAAATCTGAAGTTGTCGTATGGGATAAATGGGCTGATTTCCTTTTATTTCCACTATAGACAATGAGGGCATGTTGGATAGGTTCAGAAAGTTTGCCTTGTAACAAATCTACCATTAATTCCCCAAACAATTGTTGATGTTTTTTTTAAAGTGCACGCTACTGCTTTAGTGTATTTACACACCACACAGAGCCAATACAAAGTCCCCCCCCACCACCACCACCACCACCACCACCACCACCACACACACCACTCTGTGAGGTTAAACAAATGTCAGTAACTTACTACTTGATTTTAGCATTTCCATAAAAGTATTACCAAAAGAATATTAGATTAAAAAAAACGTTAAGGGTTCTGCAGAACCCGTGTAACTCCTGCGAATTCTGCGGTCATTGCAAAAAGTATAATGTGGACTGCAACAAAACTAAGTCTATTTTTATCAGTAAAATACAAAGAATGAACAAGATAAAAGACCACTGTGTGACACAACTTTGCTATCTACTGATCACGAAGAAGCTTCTGTCCAAGTTTCATAGAATTCAATGAAGGTTTGAACAAGTTATTGATGTCTAAAAATCTTTAACCCTAAATTGTATCTAAATTTTAATCGTAAAAAATGCAAGTTATCAGTAAAATACGGAAAAATGAAGAAACCGTTTAAAAAAATAGCTCTGGACACTGTTCTTAAGAACCTTCTTTGCAAGTTTCGTAAAATTCCATGGTTATTGATGTCTGAAAAAAATGTAACCACAGACTGACTTCAATGTTGACAACACGACAATGCCGACGACATGTAGGATGGCTATATCTGGCATTCACGATTTTTTTTCACAAGAAAGAACAAAACAAATCAGAAAACAGACACAAACATATATAACATACCTCTGTGTGGTCATCAATAAATAAGATGCATGCGTCTTTGAGTTCATTCTGGGCGAACACTATGGATGCTTGTAGACATTCACAAACGTTGTGAACTGCTAAATTCTCTATCAAATAGCAGCCTGCAAGCTAAATGGTAACAACAATTGAGAAACTTCTAACAATAAATATTTGTAACCAGATTTTATAAAATGTGTAAATCTTTAGACGCTGAGCTTTATGTTTAACGTGCTAGTTGACAAGGTAACCAACCGTCCGCATGAAATTTAATGCAAAAAGTTTGCTTAATTGCTAAACGCCTGTATGACATTATATCTCGGCAAACCAATTCTAGGACATAACTCTGCGAACTAAAATTCCAGGTCCGCTACGATTACACATACTGCATTTTCTTTGAACTCTGTACACACCCTGAGTTCAGAAAGTAAGACTCGTTTCCAAATTTTTAATTGCATTTTTCGAATACGAAGAGTGTCAACATTTTGGGAAGTAACATTTTGTGACATAAAATCCAATGATAAGCAATATAAATGTCCATAAAACACTTAATTAATCCTCTTGTTACAAAACTCTACAATAAAAAAACATTCCTTAACACATATAATAGAAAAGAAAGGATACGCGGTATCTATCCATGACACAAAATCAGAATAAGCACAGCAAAAACCACAAAAGCAAATGAACAGCTATTTTATTGCTGTTCTTCGTATTAAGGTCACAGTGAGGCCTTGAACACGGAGCAAAACATCTCTCGCCTCAATGCAAGTTTAAAACTAGCACCGGTTTGAGCAAAATTCTTTGCAAACTGACGATCACACCACAACTTTGGTATGCATGCTAATCCTGAGGTAGGTCATACCGTATTTTGTTGAAAGTTCCACGACAACACTTTACAGCGGTGATGGAGTCTCCTTTGTACAATTTTCATAAATGTCAAATGAAAAATCCTGCACTATTTTAATACAAATTACATTTTTCAAAGCACCAAATCTTTGGATTCACTCGCACCTTTTTTCGATGAAGCTGGTAAGTAAAAAATATTCACTGCATCCAACAAAAAGAAGGGCTAAATTATTTATTTATGTTCCTTAAATTTAGTTAAGATGAAGATTTTATACAATTAATTTTTTTTTTCATATGTACTGCATCAAATTCTGATTCCACTGCAATGCCCCCTTTTCCCAGTGGTGCACATTTAGCATACCAAGTTGAAATACTAATTGACACGGCTGTATCTCTATATCATGATATGCATAATTTCTATATACCTTTCTTAATTCTTCTAGCCCGTATTCTAATCCTATTCCAAGCGAATCAATAGCCTGCAAAACAGAAGTACAAGACTCCAGGTGACCTTCGTTTTCAAATAATTACATACATTAAAGTTAATAAAAGTCAGTAAATTGATGATCGTAAGAGTGTTGCAATTCTTGATGTAAACCCAATACTACTTACTTTTAAAACAAGTACACGCGTAGCTTATGCATATATTAATTACTTCTTTATCACAAACGGTATTTATAAAGTCATATCCATTTGATAATTGAACATACAGAAATTAAATTACCAAGAATGTATTTGGCAATTGTATAGTCAACTACAATTAATAACTTGAGCATGCAAAAATATAGTTACTTTAAACTATTCACATGGATGTCTTGTATGTTTTTTTTTTAATTTTAGTTCATTTATTTGTTTCGGAGTTCAGTGTGACGTCCATTTTCACTGAACTAGTACACATTTTTGTTAAGGGGCCAGCTGAAGCCCGCCTCCGGGTGCGGGATTTTCTCGCTGTGTTGAAGACCCATTGGTGTCCTTGGGCTGTTTTCTGCTCTTTGGTCGGGTTGTTGTCTCTTTGACACATTCCCCATTTCCATTCTCAATTTTACTAGTACACCAATGTTGAACTGAAACGGTCATTTTGATCTGAACAGCTCGTAAAAGACTTAAAATTAATTATTAAGTTATGTTCAGTCCTTCAGTAAATTTTCAAACTTTACCACTGCGGTAAATTCAGTACTGATTAGACAATTCGCTTGTGGTCAATTAAGATCGGTTCAGTCTATGTTTATAGTAGCTTTTATTTACCTGTACGAAACTAGAACGTGCTGAATTGTCTGAAAAGATACTGAACAGTACTAAAGAGACTGCAAGCAATATATCTTAACAGAACTTGCTTTACAACAAGAAAATATTTGAAAAAGAACTTTATCTCTTACCAAGAATTGACATTTTTCGTTTCAGACTTATCAGTAGAAGTAAAGATCAAAATGACCGTTTCAGACTAAAATTAATTTACGAGTGATTGAAATTTGTTTAAAGTGAGTGAACTGCCTATTTTTATTGATTTCATTGTCAATGAACAAATTGATTAATAAATGATTAACTATTTTCGGTATTACTCAGAAAATAAATACATAAAACCTACAATTTTTGGTGTCAGTGTGACACAGTTGGTGTAGATAAATTCCATCACAGCGAGAAATATATCCGGTGTCATGTCTGCCAAAACAAAAGGAACAGTATTATCTACCACACCGGCTCTTTGTGCCTGATCCTGAAACATTGCCTTGAAAACAGCACACCGATTGGCTAGGATGCATCTGTGTGCGTATATAGGTTTTCTGTTTGATCCAATCAAAAATTTAATGTCACTGAAAATATATTATATACGAAATATTTGTATACTCTCCGTATCTATCTGTGACCATCCTGGACATGTAAAAAGGAGTATTTTATAGGACTGTTATGCCTGTGACTTGGAAGTTAGAATACACATTTAAAAAATCTCAGACTACAGTTCCATAAAATCTAAATTCAAATATGTCAAGAAATTACCATATTATTTGGTTACCAGGTAAAGGTTTGAGATATAATATCAAACATTTTTGCCGTTAAATTACATTGTGAGCTATACACGAACATAAGTAGATGTTCTGATCCGAGATTCTGACATACCTTTGCTCTTTGTTGTTCACCAATCGTTTCATCTGAACTGCAAATTCTTCTATATTCCCCTTCATAGTTTTTTCGTTCGCCATTTTGTAGTATTGTATTTGAAACACCGTCAGTAAAAATGTTTTAAAAGTTTATGCATAGCTAAGCGGATAAAACCTATTAATCTGGATTAATTTATTTGGTTAATCATTGATTTAAAAAGATCTTGTTTGATGAAGAAAGTGGTATATGGCATTATAGTAACTTAAAATTGATGATAATAAAAAGGAGCAAGTTTGAAAAGTAATAAATTATATACTTGCAAAATGTAAAGACTGTAATAAGAAGGCCTTCTCAATCAAAATGTTAAAAAACAAACTTGATAATTCAAGACTTATAACTCTATAATCACTATCTCATTAACGAAAACACGAATCGTGAAAACAGCAGCTTATTTGACAAGGCCGCTAGCATTGTAAAGCAGCACTAAATGGCATCAAATGAAATCCTCATGATTGTATTTTTATATACACGTAATAACAAATGTCATTGATCAAAGTATTAAATGTTTTCCATTACAAAAATAAGTACCTTCTAATCCGATTTTGAACTTAAAAATGCAGAAAATAGACGAAATAATTAGAAAATAGCCTCTATGATCGGATACAGAAAAAAGATTTATCAATCAATGAAAGATGAAATATTTTATATTTATTATGAAAACAATGACAATTATAAGACCGTATTTATTCTAAAATTTGCCAACAGTTTTAAAGTTGAAAATCAAATTATCTTGCAATGTGTTATAGAGGAGGCAGTTATATAATTTGATATCTGCAAATACATTTTAGAAGATATATGATGAATGTTCCAATGACACCAATCGTGGCCATGAAAGTTTTCATCTTGCCTTAAAGAATTCACTTAGTAGGAATTAAAAAAACAGCATTTGTTTAAAAAGTGCACACAATTTGCAGCCCAAATGAAACCGGAATTTCTTTTCTCCTACATAATCTATAAGTATGAATCAGCGGCACACCCTTTCACTTTACATTTGTTTCAGTTCTAGAAGAGAGGCAAATGATACAAAAGGGACATTCAAACTCACATGTCGAAAATAAAATGAAAACGCCATGGCAAAAAAAAAAAACAGTATACAAAACACAACATAGAAAACTAAAGACTGAGCAACAAGAACCCCACCAAAAAACCGGGGTAATCTCATGTGCTCCTGAAGTATATCTAGTACGTCTATTGGTTAATTCTTTCTTTTGGGATGCTGTCTCATTGACATATCTCATTTATTTATTCATATTGTACAATTGCAAGTCGTTTTTTTTTCATGACACACCTACTATCATAATAGTTAATAATCAAAACAACCTCGATAGTCTCGTGGTAGCGTGCTCGCATCCTGGCTGGGTCAAATCAAAGACTTTTAAGATTGGTATCTGCTACTTCTTCACTAAGCACGCGGCATTAAGGAGTAAGAGCAAAAACTGCTTGGTTCGGAGTCAGAATAACGTGTCCGGTAGGGTATCAATTTATCCTGCGGATTGTTACCTTGAGAACTAGGACGTTGGCGATCTATTTCAAAGGAGGATTCATATTCATTTCCCTTTATCATGTCCAGTTTACAGTTGGTTTCACATCGAGCAAAGCAGTCCCTTCTTCTCGTAGAAGAACTAGCTTGTTACTATCATATGGTCTGGCGGATATCTGGATGCTACTCATCTTCGTCTGATTCAACGGAGCCATTTTCAAGATCTATGACAATCTACGTCCTCACTGTGGTTCTTTTACAGCGCTTTGTAAAAAGTTCTGATCAGTTGAACAGTTTTATTTGATGAAACAAATTTCAATTTGATCAGAATTTTGAATGAAATGCAATTGGTTTAGTGAAACACGTACAATCAAGTCTCTGTAAAACTTCGGCATAATAAATATTGTCAATAAGCATGAACAGTTGGTAAATATTAAAAAGAACTCAGCTGGTTTAAGTACTTCCAATCTATGCAGCTATATGCTGTCTATCAATTTTTTTTTTATTGTTTTGGACATAAATCAGGACCTGGTTTTCCCGTTTTAATTGATTTAAATTTTGTCAAGCAAGTCTTTTATAGCTCACTAAACGGGGTTTGTATATTGTTGAAGGCATTTTGTTGGTGTATAGCAACTTCATTGGCAATCATACTACATCTTCTTACTTTTATAACAGTTTTAGCTGCTTATTCACAATACCACATGGCAATGAAATGATAGCAGTCTTGCGCATACGGTAATCTTTTCCAAGACATATAATATATCACTTTATTACTATGGGTTATAGTTACTGTGATAATTTTATTAAATAATTGAAGCTTTCAAGTATCATGATCTTGAGGAAATGTTAATAGACACTCGAGGATTGCCATTTGTTGTACCAAAATATTAGTCTTTCTGTACAATATAATTTTCATCTTTTACTAAATATAATTTGAAATAATATTTTTATATATTTTCAAACAAGGGACCCCATTGGAAATAAGCTATACTATGTAAGCTTTTATGGGATATCCCAGGCTTCTTTCTAAGCACTTTTTTTGAAATATATTATGACACTATTTTAAAAGTATATATATATATATATATATATATTATTTGTCTTGTTTTGTCTTGTGAATTTTTATATATGTGCTTGAATTTGCCTGAATAAAACTATACTATACTAAAGTAATAAATAAATCGTACCTCTTATCAGTATCTTTGCACAAATCTTTAGGCTAGCAAAATGTTTCATGTGGGGAAGAGAGGAGGGGATGAGTTGGCAACTACATTATGGGGTGTTCTAAAAGTTGTGGGTTGTAGACACACGATAATGTTTTCCCTCCATAATGGATTAAAACTGAATTGTAATAAGTCTATGGTATAAAGGTCTTATAACATGTATCATACTTACCAAGGGTGAACTTCAATAAAGACTGAAAGACTTTTGAAAATGACGCTGTCAGTAAATAGATTCAGTGGAAATTTTTCTTACCATGCACTTTTTTAATCATTGTTTGCCAAATGTCTGGAAAAGTATTTCATGCATTATAAAGGCAATTTATTCGAAGTTGACTTAAAACTGATAAAGAAAATTTTGCCGCCATTAAATTCCCAAATGACTGCAGCACCTAGTGCAATACTGGAAAGGTGTTCTACACAAAGTGTTGTTACCATTTTTCATTGTTCCAAGGCCATATAAACCCCTTTCAATGAGTTGAGACAATGCATAGTTATTCCAGATATACTGGTATTTAAAAAATATTTAGAAAATGTTTTTATGTAAAATCTGAGATAATTATATTAACAAAAAAATAATGATGAACAAATCTGAGATTTTTTTTTTTGTTTGTTGATGTTTTTATTTTAATTTTTCAGAGGAGTCAGCTGTTGATGTGCTCTGCTGGTCTGTCCAATATTTTTGGTAACCAATGTTATCCTTTTTATGTATAATCTATTGTTGAAGGCCATTATGGTGAATTTAGATGTCATTTTAAAAAACTTAAAAGTAATGTTTGGTTGCTGACTTACAATGTTTATAAATATTGCACAGCTTAAGCTTATGTTTTTAAAAAATTAATTGGTTAAAATATCAATTAGACAGCAATTATACAGCTCAATAAAGCCAGAAAATACACCAGGACAACCAGGATATGTCAGAACATACACACATACATACTTTTACCTGCCATGTAAAGCATTGCATTAAAGGTCTATGCACATAATAAATAGACCTTTACATGAAATGAAAAGAAGGAAACGTGGTTGACTTCCAATTAAAACTATCCACCAAATAGATGTGGAAGTCAACAATTGTAAGTCACTGTATGGCCTTCAACAATGAGAAAAACCGATGCCGTATCATCAGCTATAAAAGGCAATGACAAGGAAATTGAAAAACAATTCAGACAAAAAACTAATGGCCTAATTTATAACAATTCAATTTACAAGAACGTGAACCAACAGCAAACACTGAATTACAGGCTCCTGACTTGGGACAGGCACATAAATAATGTTTGTGAGACCTCAACCCTCAACCTTACCTGGGACAGAGGTGTAACAGCACAACATTAGAACAAACTGTAAAAATCAGTTGCAAATGGCTCAACGAAATAGATAGGTAAGGACTCTTAAAGGAGCACAAAAAAACAACTAACGTAAAAACAATAGACACAAAGTTCTGATATAAGAGTACTCACAGTTACTGAAAGCTAGTTCAAAGCCAATTACATCTAATAAATAAATCATGTTCTCCCAGACTAAAGTATCAATCAGTACAAATCCAACAGATTCAGAGTAAAGACATCATAAACAGTCTGAGAAATGCAGGACCTTGTAATTTTATTCAAAGGATCAATGAGTTAACATGAAACCAAGGGTCTGGAAATGGTCATATTTGCAAGACATGACCGAATCTGAAATCTATTTGTCCTAAATGACAAATTGGGATTTAGGACAAATTTTATTTTTTTACAGAAATAATTTTGGTCATTTCGATGAGATCGGGTTTCTTAATCGCCATTTTGCACTTGTTTTTGTTTTGTTATCCCTTTCCTGTAATAAAACTGCCACTTCGTATAGTATGATAATCCTGAGGGCCCTCCTAATAACTATATTAATGCCTCCGGGAAATATTTCCTAATGATCGCTAACCACTTTTTACCTGTGTTTTTAGTTCACACCTGACATTGATCACAAGCTCAGAACTAATATTATAAAAAAATTAAAATTCCATGACAACTGTCTTCATCATTTAATTAATTTTCAGCAAAGACAATCGTCGATTCTGATTTTAAAATGTTTCTATTTACAAAGAAAAACGTATTTTTTCATGAGTAACACACATGCTTTATTTACTATGTAATACCCATGCCTGAAATTCTCTTCAGCAGATTAGACACTGAATCGTAAAATGCAAAATGATTTTATGCTAAATAAAACAAGTGCAACTTTTATTTGTAATATTCAAACACTTTTAAAGGTAAAAAAATTTAAAAAGCCGGTGATTTCCTGTCAATTTGATAAACAAAATGAATCCTGGAAATGAGTCCGTAATTACTCGTACTTTAGTATTGTTGCAAAACATCCGGTTTAATTTTGTCTTCAAAATCGAAAAAAACGTTAGCGATGTCTGATGAAATTTAGGATTTTGAGTCATTAAAATCGTTTCATTTTTAAACTGTTGCCTTCGCTTAACTGTTCTTGAACGTTTTTAGAAAAATGGTAAGAAAATTCATGAAGTAAATGCGATGAAACAGTCAAAACAAGTTCGTTGATGCTATGAATCTAGTGTGATTTCAACATTTTTTTTTTAAAAAGGACACAAACTTTTAAGTTATCTCAAAATGACCGAAATTGTGTGAAAAATTTCCGGATCCTTGCATGGAACATATCTAAATCTACAGGCTCTATAAACAACATCACAGTAAAAAATTGGGATGTGATATCCCTTTTTAAATAAGAATTCTACAGGTAAAAATTCTTTTTGTTTTTATCTAATGATTAAATGACTTAACTGCTCCCAAAGTAACATTCGTTTTTTTCCTTCACCCATCAATTATAAAAAACTCTTATGAACAGATGTTAATGGAAGAACATATCAAACACCATCTTCAAAGGCTTTACTGCTATAACTTTGCTAAGTATCAATGACCTGTTTAAAAAAAAAATCATCAAAGATAATTAAGTAGGCCAGAGTTGCATTTTGTCTACATAGAACTCGTCAGTGGCACTTCAATTAAAATAGGTGGAAGGTTAAATCATTAACAAAGTTCAAGAGCTTTGAAAAAAAAATTCAAACATGTTGTGATATATAACCCAACAATGCCTGAGGTAGAAAACCTTAGGTTTTGAATGAATTGAACAGTAAATTTTAAAAAATTACAGTATCAATATTTCATGCCAGGAACAGGGGTACTGACTACTGGGCTGATGACATTTTCATTTACAAATATTTAATGAGAAAAGGACATATTTCAACTATTTTTTAAATGACCCAAAAATTCAACATAAAGTATGTCGATAAATGGATCTATAAATCAGTATAAAATGTTGTTACTTGGATATAAATGTAACAACTGACTCAATATCAATGATCTATCATTAGTCTTTTTTTTATAATTAGAATTTTTTGTGTTAGTAAATGCAATCTTCACCAACAGAAAAGTAATACATATGTATTTCTGTCAATGACATTCATTATAAATGAAACCAAAACTCAAAATAAAGTGCCTGTCTTTCCACAATTTTTACTGCAGATGAAACAAAAATTATCACTATGATGAATTGTGTTATATTTAATAAATAAATTTCATATATTTTAACATATCTATTACAATCAAATGAGGTCATATGGAACTAGTTCTTAAGCAACTTTCAGCATGCTTTAAGTACATGCTGTTAAAAAATATTAAAAATAAAAATTTTCAACAATCATTAAAACAGAGTTATTTCCCCTTGAAAATATTGTCTCATATTGTCTTATATGTAAGATTGCGTACATGTAATAATACTATAAATCTAAAGCGGAAATGAAAAGCCGAATAGTATAGTCTTAAAATACTCAATGAAAAACAAAGTTTGAACTGATGTTAGTTTTTTCATAAAAATTTGAAGTCTAATCTAGTTTGTCTAATTCAAAGTATTAGATAAGGTTCAATGAAAAATTATGTTGCTCTTATCAATTTCTTCAGGAAACTGAATTTTTGAATGCATATTATCAAAATATGTGAACATTATGATGATACATCACATATTTTTGGAATGTTTATCACAAAAAATATCTCGCCATGCAAAACGTACATAAACATCACATAATAAAAATGGACGGAACTACTTCAAAAAAGGTGGATACATTCAAGTCAAAAAGATTCACACAAAAGCACCTAAGTTGTAAAATTGCTAAGATATACTATATATAAAACTATAAAATGAAATATAAACATGTTAAAATACTATACAACAAAGAAAATATAATAATTGTAGAACTATTATGTGTAGTAACTATTTGCAAATCTTAATTTATAAAATTAAATTAAAGGTAAACAAGTTACAAATAAAGGTAACAATACCATTTTAATTTATTAACAAACAAACCTATTTAATGATATCTAAAGGCTTTAATTAAAGCTAAATAAATTTCAAACTAACATAAATGTTTACATCGAAACTTATCTAAAAATTTATCCAACAATGACTATGGGGTTGAATTAATGGAAAACTAGTTACCAAGATACTTTGCAGAATATTGTTAAAAAAAAACTTCAATTATAATTATGCATTTACTCTTTTATAATAAAAACTGCACAGAAAAATTGTGGGAAAATGGTTAAAAAGTACAAAATGAGTGCATAACTAATGTCCCAATGCCTAACTGAAATATGTTTATACACAATGCTTATCAGGGTTATAAATACTTCTTTGTATACAATTTCCTGGGAGAGCTAGACCACGTAAAGCAAACCCCAAAAATATAAAACATCATCATGTGTTACTTTTACACTATTGCTACTCTCTTTTTTCTGAGTTCTTAATCAGCAGTGGCGGATCCAGAACTTTTCATAAGGGGGGGCCCGCTGACTGACTTAAGGGGGCCTGCTCCAGTCATGCTTCAGTGATTCCCTATATAATCAACCAAATTTTTCCCACGAAAGGGGGGCCCGGGCCCCCCCAGGGCCCCCTAGATCCGCCTATGATCAGATACATGTTGAATATGTTTTTGATGGATAAACAATTCAGAATAACAAATCAGTTTCCAAATTGTCAAATGCCTTAATTTTCAAACTAATGTATAAAATTCACAATTATTCATGGTTTATTCTGTGGTCCTCAAAAATGTTGCAAAGAGCACAATTAAATCCTGACTTTATAATAGAACTTCTATGACTGTGTATTGTCAGAATGCCTTAAAATAGAACTTCTATGACTTTGTATTGTCAGAATGCCTTAAAATAGAACTTCTATGACTTTGTATTGTCAGAATGCCTTAAAATAGAACTTCTATGACTTTGTATTGTCAGAATGCCTTAAAATAGAATTTGAGGAATAATCAGATATATGCATGCCAAGTATTGTATGGGATACTATGTAAAAGCAATTTTTGTTTGTTTCTAAATCCTTCTAATTGCATGTATGATATTTGAATTTCCAGTTCTTTTTACAATATTGTTTGAACTCAAATTATAATCATTTTCATCATTTGCATTGATCAATTAATAAAAAAGTTTGGTACATTCAGTTACTTTAATGGCCTTCATATAAATTGTCTGATTTTTATGAAAACTGGTAGTAAAAATTCATGAGCTTAAGAAGATATTTTTATAACATTAAAGGCCTAACAAATCTATAAAAGCACACAATGCATTTATTTATTTCTGAACTTTTATAACCCTATTATTCCTTAACAATCTGCTAGCTCTCAAAAATTGATTTAAAATTTTGTTCAGTCTAGCTATCTATGTGCACACAGTTTTGATTATCACAGAGTTCACAAATATTTCATTTACTGGTCCAAGTACTTCAAATGTTCCCTGTTCTCTGTGCCCTTTCTTCTCTTCATAAGAGGATTTGATGGGTCACCTTTCTTTGTTGCATGAAAACGCCATGAATTGTTAAAACAATCAATCTGAAAAAAAAGCAACACATTTTTTTAATAATCTTAACAATGCATCAAATAACTTCAATTATATCATTAAAACACTCAAAAAGAATGGAAAGTACCCGTACATTTTTGCAATCTTTCATTCTCTCATTTTATATTTGCCATATACAAAACATTTTTATTTCAGGCTGTTGGTTTGCTAGTATTAAAAGATTAATACTTAGCTTTTTTTGAATATTTTAAACAAATAATTTTGCAAGTATATATTGTATGCTGATAGGATATACCATCTCCATTAACTTTATCTTTATAAATTAAACATTGTATTATAAAAAAAAACCCATTTTTTCCAATACAAAAACTACTTGTCAGAGGCCTAGGGTATTTAGTCTAAATGTTTATAAATAGATTTTTTCATTTCAAGTTTTGAATACCGATAAAAAAATAGTAAACCAACAACACCTTAAAATAAAAGATATCTATAGGTCTCTCTCTATATATACCTAAATATATCAGATATCAAACTCTAAATCACCACCCCTTCTAGATCTTGACAAGTTGTCAATAAACAAGAAATGATTGTAACAGGATGCTGTTACGAAGTCTCCCAAACAAAGCTCCCATAATTCCTTTTTTCCCAGGGTCGCCTGACATTGGACAAAGTCCAGTGAAAATTGGTTTGGTCCAGTAAAGTTATATGCATTAGTGATGCCTTGGGACTAACCCTGTATATCATTCAAATCATCTTGGCATGACAAACCAGAATATATATGGTTTAGGGGTGGGGATCTCGACCATTTACAAGATACTAGAACATTGGGGGTGGGGGGGGGGGGGGACCCCTGGGGACTGACCCTATATGTCATTCAAATGTTCGAGACATGACGAACAGGAATATATATGGTTTAGGGGTGGGGATCTCGACCATTTACAAGATATTAGAACTTTCTCAAATGGCAGGGGGTCAGGACCCCTGGGGAATAACCCTGTATATAATTCAAACCATCTTGGTATGACAAACCAGAATATATATATGGTTTAGGGGTGGGGATCTCGACCACTTACAAGATTTTAGATTTTTCTTAAATGGCAGGGGGTGGGGTGACCCCTGGGGACTAACCCTGAATATAATTCAAACCATCTTCGCATGACAAACCAGAATATATATGGTTTAGGGGTGGGGATCTTGACCACTTACAAGATATTAGAACTTTCTTAAATGGCAGGAGGTGGGGGTGACCCCTGGGGACTAACCCTGTATTTCATTTGATGTGCTTTATCATGACAAACCAGAATATTTATGGTTTAGGGGTGGGGATCTTGACCACTTACAAGATATTAGAACTTTCTTAAATGGCAGGAGGTGGGGGTGACCCCTGAGGACTAACCCTGTATTTCATTTGATGTGCTTTATCATGACAAACCAGAATATATATGGTTTAGGGATGGGGATCTTGACCATTTACAAGATATTAGAACTTTCTCAAATGGCAGGGGGTGGGGATGACCCCTGGGGACTAACCCTGTATTTCATTTGATGTGCTTTATCATGACAAACCAGAATATATATGGTTTAGGGGTGGGGATCTTGACCATTTACAAGATATTAGAACTTTCTCAAATGGCAGGGGGTGGGGATGACCCCGGGGGACTAACCCTATATATCATTCAAACCATCTTAGCATGACAAACCAAAATATATATGGTTTAGGGGTGGGGATATTGACCACTTACAAGATATTAGAACTTTCTTAAATGGCAGGGGGTGGGGTTGACCCCCGGGGACTAACCCTGTATTTCATTTGATGTGCTTTATCATGACAAACCAGAATATATATGGTTTAGGGGTGGGGATCTTGACCATTTGCAAGATATTAGAACTTTCTCAAATGGCAGGGGGTGGGGATGACCCCTGGTGACTAACCCTGTATATCATTCAAACCATCTTAGCATGACAAACCAGAATAAATATGGTTTAGGGGTGGGGATATTGACCACTTACAAGATATTAGATCTTTCTTAAATGGCAGGGGGTGGGGTAGACCCCCGGGGACTAACCCTGTATTTCATTTGATGTGCTTTACCATGACAAGCCAGAATATATATGGTTTAGGGGTGGGGATCTCGACCATTTACAAGATATTAGAACTTTCTCAAATGGCAGGGGGTAGGGATGACCCCTGGGGACTAACCCTGTATATCATTCAAACCATCTTAGCATGACAAACCAGAATATATATGGTTTAGGGGTGGGGATCTCGACCATTTACAAGATATTAGAACTTTCTTAAATGGCAGGGGGTGGGTGTGACCCCTGGGGACTAACCCTGTATTTCATTTAATGTGCTTTATCATTTAGAACATTTTCAATTAAAAAGATTGTGTCTATCACAAACGGTTTTCAATTTATAATCATTTGAAAATTAAAAAAAATAAAATCCTGTAGGGTTCTATAGTAAAACCCTCCTTTCTTTTTGCCCCTCAAAGTACCCCTTTATAAACCCCATTGCACAAACAAAATCCTGATTGCACCACTAGACATGTTAGTCTAACATACTGTGAAACCTAAAGTTAATCTGAGAAGCGGTTTTAGAGAACGGGTGCGGACAAGTTCAAATTTAAAAGCGGCGGAAGAAGAAGAAGAAGAAGAAGAATAATTAATAAGAACTTCGTTTGGGAGACTTAATTAAACATAAACTACAAGAGATTTGAGATCAGCATCAGATTCCAGGATAAATACACTGAGATATAAACAAAGACAATTAACCCACTCTTTGGCTGTCTTTCTACATATAATAATGGTACTACTTATAGTCCATAAATCAATACCTCTAAATTGAACAAAACTGAAAGTACACAATACAAAAAGGATAAGTTACTCACAGGAATAAGATTGTCTTTTTTATTGTCTTTTTCTATCTTTTCTAACTCTTCAGGAGACAGCAATGTAAATCTTATCTTTGGTATTACTTTTCTGGCTACTTCACTCACTGATTTTTCTAATACTGTCTAAATGAATAAATATAATTTTTTTATTTTTTATTTAGTGTACATTGTACATACAAGTAAAGTGAATTAAAAGCTATTGTGAAATATGGTTTTTTGCTCAAGCTGTAAACCAGTAATTGGAGAATATGGGGTGGCTCCTACTGCATATTTAAATCATGTATTCTTCTTGTGCATTTTCAGCTGTATTTCCAAATTTTGTTCATTGTCTCAGGTGTTGTTACTTTGACAGTTTTTGGCACAAAATTAATCGCAGACATATATACATGTAACAACTTCAAAAATTACTGAAATTTTAGCTTAAGTAGCAAAAAATATGTAAATCAAGTTTTGTAAGATGCTCTGTGTGTGAGTGTGCTTTCACTATGCGAAAACCGTACACTGGGACATTTAGTTGCTGTATAATATTTCTGAGTTTACATTTATACAGAGGAACTTTCGCACAGAAGAATATTCTCATATGACATCGGACATATGACTTATAATAATAAGAATTGATTCCTTATTATATCTGAATACTTGCAGGTGCCAAAATTGAATAACAGTTGCTAATATACAGTTTCTGGCATCACTAAACTCAGTGTTAGTGTAGAGAAATGCAGTGTCCAGACTCCCAAGATCAGATCCATAAATGATGTGGCATGGCTCCATTATGATCAGATATTTTTCATTCAGGTTAAATTAACAAAAATATTAAAGCACTTATAAAAATTAATAATTCTTTTTTTAAATTTCCACATTTAGATACTTACAGAGTTTATGGTCGCCCAGTCCTTGACATATTTGAGTAATTCAATCTCATCCATTTGTAAATTATCACTTTGTAGAATTTCATTCATTGATTCATCAGAAAGTTCCTGGAATGCCTTGGACTTCAGAACACTCTAAAAGTTATATAAATAAAGACAATGTCAAGCAAAAAGTTTAAGTTATAAATGCAATGTATTTTTAAAACATCAAAACAAGAATGGATACACAGAAAAATTGTACATCGTTTTATTTTTTATGTCTGCCTTTTTTCACAATTCAATGAAAAATGGGCATGTGACATTTTTGATGTTTATTATTTTCTCTCATTAGTAAAGAATACATGAAACAAACACTTCAGTATATTAAGATGTAAAGAGAACTTAAATTCTATTGACGGTTGCAGTCTAGTGCACAGTAAACTTATGTGGTGTACTGTAATTTCTTCTGGATCCCTGTAACATAATTATATTGTTGGGTGAATGAGCCATGGAGTGCCAAATAATACCAATATCTCAGTGAGTTGAACAAGGATTATAAGACACTAATTTTCTAAATCACAAAATGAAGTTTGATTCAGTACACTTTGAAAATTAGTTCAAGGTCAGGTCAATAATCCTATTCAATCATAACTGACAGCTTTTTGTAGATATCCACAGATTTAATGTACCCTGTTTTACTCTGCATATTTCTCAATGAATCTGAGAGCAGTTGCCAACAGTTCTACATTACTATAAGTGACAGCTACTTGTAGATATTCAGGGTAACTGTATATTACTTACCTCTGTATGTTCCTCTATGAATCTGAGGGTAGCTCCCAATAATTCCATGTTACTATAAGTGACAGCTACTTGTAGACATTCACAAGCATTGTGCACACTAAGATTTTCTACTAGGTATAATGCTGCAAGCTGAAAAATTAAATAAATCACAACATGTAGTTGACTGAAGTGAAGAACTAAATAATACAGGTACTAAGTTAAGGCATGCAAATGTTTGCATAAGACAATAATTTCAATAGTAATGGGATTCAAATTGCCCAAAAATTTTGTTTTAATTTGTTAATTGTTGGTGTAAGTGTTTTCTTTCGTGTCCACTAACCATGCAGTCTTGTTGCATTTTGTGTACCTTTTTCACATAATACAAAGGTACATACATGTATACTTTCACTTTCTATTTATATTCAACATGGTTACATTGTGACACAATTTATACCTTCCTGATTTTTACTTCAGTGAGATTTTCTGATGACGGTGCCCTAGGAGCAGAAACATGTCGATCTCATTAGATTACTGCAGCAATCCCTAAAGTGTTGTTGTTATAACTGCTTTCACTTTTTCACATGTATGTAATATTTCTGGATTTGAATTTTTTACCCCTTTTAAACTAGTTGGTATGATATTTTCTACTTGTTGTATACTCTACTTATAACATAGTAATTCTGGTTATATCAGGTATCTTGGAACTAGATATGAACCAGGCAACTTAATTCACCACCTTTTAAAAACCATGGTGTGTTTCTATTTTGATATAAATTTTCCAACGCTATACTTCTTTTTTGGAAAACCTAAATTGTTTCTGAGTTGTTGTTTTTTGGACCAGTTTAGTTGTAGTCAAAACGCAAAAATTCCAGGATTAATTTTTCCGTTTTTTATTTTAATGTTCTGTTACCATTTACATTTAAACTTGTTTGTGTCTTTTAAAAGTAATGATTTTTATTTTGCAGTTTTTCTTATTGATAAATGAGCATGGTAACAACAAAAGAATACACACTGAGCCATTGGTATTGTGTAACATTAGAATGTTACCCCATATTAACCCATTTCAACATAAACTTTATTGCAATGTAGTGTGATAAAGTACACATATATAGCTTACCTTTCTAAGTTCATCTAATCCATATTCTATTGAAACACCAAATGTATCCAAAGCCTACAAAAGATAATGCAAATGTCAAATGTATCTTTCTTTTATTTAAATTATGAAAATATGTTGTTTGTTTTAAACTTTTCATTCAACAGAAAGAATGAGTAGATAATTCTATTTCCTCATCATACAGCAAAAATAAAAATTTCCAAATAAGCGCTTGGTAAAAATTTAAATTAAACATCTTGCATGAGGTGACAGTATTTCAAAATTTTTCCCTTTTCAGAAAATTGAGTATTAAAAAATGTACACAAAACTGTTGTGATTTGGTTTATAATTTGAGGGTTTTAACAATGAAACTACCCATAGTACCTTAGATTCTGAAACTGCAAATCTTTTGACGTATGGATGATTTATGCAATAACTGACTGATCATAGAATTTATTGAGTAAAAAAAGTTAAGCAACATATATTTTATTTTAAAAAAAATTGAAATAAAAAATTGCAGAAATTGCAGAAATTAAAGAACCTTTGTATGCATGCTCACATACCCCATGCCCCAAAACTCATAACTCCTAAAGAAACCAACTGATAAAATTTCTTGTAGTTATGCACATCTACATATTATGTCCTCATTAACTACAAAAGTTTCATGAAATTCTGTTTAGGGGTTTCAGAGGAGTTGCGATGACAAACTGTTGCAGTAGTATATTTAGGTCAAAGTCCAAGTTCAAAGGGGCATAACTCCTAGAAAAAAAATTGAATCAAAATTTCCTATTGATATGCACATCTGAATAGAATGTCCTTATTATCTACAAAGTTTCATAAAATTCTGTTGTTTGGTTTCAGAAGAGTTTGTGATGACAAACTGCTGCAGTAGTATATTTAGACCAAAATTTGAAGTTCAAAGGGGAATAGCATTGAGATAAAAAATTATATCAAAATTTCCTGTCAACTTTCACATCTACTAAGTTTGTCCTTATTATCTACAAAGTTTAATGAAATTCTGTTGTGTGGTTTCTTAGAAGTTGTGATGACAAGAACAGGATTGACGGACAGACAGACAGGTCAAAATCATTATACCCTATACAACTTCATTGGATGGGGCATAATAAATTTTATGTTCAAGTTTTTGTCGAGTAAAAAATTGAACATTAAGGTTTATTTTCTTTGTAACAGTTATGTATTTATCGTTATTATTAGAAGTATAGTTTATTTTTGAAATAGGAAATAAAAAATATTTGCTGCAAAACTTTTAGTATACAAGTTAACATACACCAGTATTAAGATGCTTACAATTTTTGGTGTAAGTGAGACACAGTTTGTATACATAAACTCTAACATGGCCTGAAATATTTCTGGTGATGTGTCAGGTAATGGAATCTCTACATCTCTGTTGGGGGTCTGCTCAGCAAACAATGCTTTAAATATGGCTGATCTTGCTGATAAAATACATCTGTGAGCATAAAAGGCTTTTCTGTTTGGTCCAATTTTAAACTTTACATCACTGAAAAATATGAAATAAATAAGAAATTTTAGTTTCCATATTGACAGGCTTAAAAAATTTAATTTTTATAAACTTGAAATATAGGGATTTTTTTAAATTTTGTTTGGTATTTCTATTAGGTTATTTTCAAACTTGATAACAATAATAAACAAAAGTACACATGCTGAAATGTCTCGCCTGCTTTACTGACCATTGATTTTATGTTGAAAGTCTTAAAGATAAAGGTTTTACTAAAAGTATCACATAAACTTAACATTTTTAAAGATCTATGAGAATGAGGTCAAGGTCAGATAAATCCTGTCAGACAGACATATACACCTTACAATTTTTTTATACACTAAATATAGTTACATATATTGATTATGGTAATTGAAAAACTGACCAAAACACAAAAATTTAACATTGACCAATGAACCATGAAAATGGGGTCAAGGTCAGATTATACCTGCCAGACAGACATGTACACCTTACAGTTATCCCATACACCAAATATAGCTGACCTATTACTTAATAAGTATTTGAAAAACAGACCAAAACACAAAAACTTAACATTGACCAATGAACCATGAAAAGGAGGTCAAGGTCAGATGATACCTGCCAGACAGATATGTACAACTTACAATCATTCCATACATGTACAACAAATATAGTTGATCTATTGCTTATAGTACTTGACATGAAAATTAGGTCAATGTCAGATGAAACCTGCCAGACTGACATGTACCCATTACAATCATTCCATACTGGTTCACATGTATGCATACACCACATATAGTTGACCTACTGCTTATAGTATTTGTCTATTTTAGAAACGGACCTAATCACATAACTTTAACCTTGATCACTGATCCATGAAATGAGGTAGACTGTCTGGCAGACATGTAGATGTTGCAAGGAACCCATATACCAAGTATAGATATCCTATTACTCATCATAAGAGAGAAATTCACATGACAATAAAACTATAATATGTTTTCAAGCAGTTGCTGAACCATGAAAATGAGGTTAAGGACAATGGAAATATGACAGACGGAAACTTCAAAACATAAGGAATCTGCAAACAAGATATGATTCAGCATTCAGGTCTTCTACCTTCTGAAATATAAAGCTTTATACAAATAGTTTACGCAGCCGCTCTTGCCCAATAGTAATACCTAAGTCTTGCATACTGCAACGAAATACTGTGACTTTCGATGCAGGCGAGACAAAAATGGAAATATGAAAATAATGATATTCAATTCAAAGAAAAATTGATATTTTCTTTTCTCCTATGATTTGAATTAAAGTTGAAACATTAATATATTGTATTTAATAAAATACAGTAAGTTTAGTACTGTTATCCAGTTTTCAAGTGTGTGCAACATTGTAAGACTTTATTTTATTGAACAAATCAAGATGTGCTAAGAATTTGGATCAAGTTTTTATATCCAGATATATTCCCTTAATAGGTATAAACATACTGATATATTTCAATGACTGTTCCTAATATAAATCAAGTAGCTGAAACGCAACTCCCTTTAAAAACCTCATAAATTAAATAGGTGAGTCTAGCACAAAAAATTAGAAACCGTATATATTCTTAATGTTTAAATGCATCAGCTTTAAAACAGTGAACCTTTATGTGTAACAATGAAACCATCCTTTCCTATACTTAGTTACCTCGCATGCTGAATAAAAGGTTCTTTGTAAAAAGGTATTATGAGATGTTTAAATATTCTAATTGTGCTTCTTTCACCTTCTTCTCTCATAATACATACTAATTTCCATTTTATTATTTGTTTGTAATTTTACATATTCCACTCCATTAAATTTGAGTCTGCCAGGCAGTTTCATTCTGTAACTTTTTCTGAATGTAATTTTATCTTGTTTAATCTACACCATTAATTTTCAGAAAAAATTGTTAGTTTAATCAAATTGCTACATGTAGGTCAATTAACAAAAATCTACATGTAACTTCTGAATGGTATCAGGATTTTGTTTGTCATTGAAACTTAAAATATTTTTTTAAAAAAAAATATAAAATATTAAATTGTGGAAAAATGTAAAATAATAAATCTTTTTATTATTTTCTTAATAAATTAGTGACCCACCTGCACTATTAAAGTAGGAAAAAATTTTCTCCTAGAAATTACTCTTCAAAATTGTTTCATGAAATTCTATTTTCAAAATTTGATCTATTGTCAATCAAAATTCTAATGGAACTCTGTGCAATTTCTTACACTACATGATGACAGTACATCCCATATTATTATTGAAAATATACAAATAAAAATGTCTTTGAGAAAGCCTGAAAATTTTTGCCTATTATTTCTAATGGATCTTTGGAATGTGAAATGAATTTGTCATTTTTATACATAATGAACATAATATAATTTTTTAATTTTTTTGCAAAGTTTCCCTTTAACAAGTTTTTACCAAAATGCATAACTTACATTTTTAATTTGTGTCCAGACACTATATGTGTATTGAAAGAAAATTATGCAAATTGTAAATTTATACAGAACATTTCAAACTACATGCAAGCATTTATCTTGATAACATGTTTTTTTTTTTTTTTTTTAAATGTAGTTAGCTGCAGTGGAATATCTTAGTTTGGCCTTCAATCAGTAACTTGTTTTTTGAAATTTTGATGAGTCCAATTCAGTGATTCACAGCTTAGAAAGCTGTACTGAATCCAATGTAATATTGATAAATCCAGGACATACCTATAGTCAATTAAAAGTTCCAAAGATTCCTGCCATTATTCTAGTTAAGAAATTAAACATTTCCAAGTAGAAAGTGAAACTCTATTTCTACGATTTTTATAATATCAGTTAATAAGTCTTTTAAAGTTATATTTAGTTACAATGAGTCTAGAGATCATTCGAGTCCAGAGAGCATTCATTGACATGGTGATAAATTGTTTAAGTATTGTTTCATGTACATGTTCATGTAACTGTGTTATTGTCAGGCTTTTTTTCTGGAGTAAATTTAACTATGTTCTTTTCTCTGACCTTTTGTTATTCTGCTTTTATAATTTTTGGTGATTACAGATAATTAGGACATGGTCGAGTTCTTTGTTACAGAACTACATTTGTACATGTACATTAAGCCTGTCACATGTTGATCTGCTGGTCTGTCGTCAGTAAACTTGTCAGGAAATGTTTTCTTCATGTTTTTTGTACACTTTGGAATTTTGTGTTGAAGACTGAAATTCTATATTATTTACTACTCATCTACATGTATACTTGAAGTGAATTATACCAGTATTTAACAAGTGACTTTGCAATATCAAAATGAAATGGGAACTGTGCTAGTTCTAAAAATAACAGTTGGCAATTATGCCAGTCTCACACTGGGCCCCTGTCTGGGTATCCTAATCCGAAGCTACTGAGGGATCTGAATGCTGAGGAGCAATCAGTGAAAAGTTTGTAACGGTAGGTAAGTAAAACTTGGATCTGATTCCCATAGAGTAATTATGCTACAAATCTGGATACCTGGTGTGAGTCCATTGGTCCTGGACTCATAAAAAAATCTGTCCTAAGACTAGACTCATTATTTTCATAACTGGTGAGTCCAAAGTCATCAAGATTGTAAAATGTTGTTTTGAATTTTATTCTGTTTGTGTACGTAATAAAATGAGTTTAGTGCTTATTCAGAATACAATTTTATAGCAAACAAAATGAGTTACAATCTATCTTGGGAAACTCATGATCACCTCAGATCATATCAGGCAGATTTTTGAATCTGTACAAAGATCAGTAATAAGCTGGCTTTGTATATATTTGTAAATTTTAGGTATCAATCATTGTGTTCTTGTTTTTATAGGTGGTGGGTAAGTTGTGTATATAATCTACTTATATGATGCTGTACAGACTAATTCTACTGTGTAGTGCAAAGATATAAACGTAGGCCCGCACATGCAGAAGAAGTTTTATACATATTTTTAAACCTGTTGCTCTGATTACACAGATAACCTGTGGTGCTCCAGATAGTGGAGGGATCTACTAAAAAGAAAGAAAGAAATGTGGCGTCAAAATTTTACTGGCACCTTCGTGATGTCCAGTAATGGCGGACAAATAGCAATAAGTTGAATATATTTAGGCACTGGCTACGGTTACATGGAAATATAACAATAATATAAAAATTATTGTTAGATTGGAGACTAATTGCCGGAATGCAGGGTTGGGTAAGGAACCGATTAATTACGAATGTAACAATAATATTTGGGTCTACGGTTACATTGCGTTATTGTTACATGTACATTAAAGACTGCAATGTATGGTAGATTTATTAAACTTTATAAACCTTCTATAGTTATGTTGCTTAATTCTTCGATATGAACTAGATAATATTAATGATAATAATATTATTCAGCGAATAAGTATTGATTGTTTTGGTGTTGTTAAAAATCATGACTACTACAGTTTAGTTCAATATCACTTTTGATGAATACTTAATGAACTGTTCAATAGAGCATGTACTGTCATGACTGATAAGATCACAAAATATCTGGACTCTGAAAATGAAAACACTGTTTCCACCAATTTCAATCTGTCGGCAAATGTCAACATTAATTGCTTTCACAATTGACTTGTATTTAAACAACCTAACATGCTTCCAAAAAAAATATTGGACGAAAATGTAAACATCGCAAGAGTAACAAAATATTTTTCACCTGAAGCATGGCATTCAGACATTGAAAGTTTCTTAAACTTCATAAAGGGAAAATGCAGAATGGAATTGTACGGTATGCAATATAGAGCGTGCACATTGCCGTATCACTGGTTTGTGATGGCTGCTTAGAGTGGTTTCACCGAAAATGCGTCGGACTAAAACATGCTCCAAAAACAACATACTGGATTTGTAGAAACTGTCATTGTAAATAAAAAATCAAAATATTGTATGCAATATTGTAAATATCAAATAAAAGTTTTCAAGTTTTATTTTAGTACATATTTATTACTATTCCCATCGTACATTGCAGTGCGTTAATGTAACAATAAGGCAATGTAACCGTAGACCCAAATATTATTGTTACATTCGTAATTAATCAGTTCCTTACCCAACCCTGCATTCCGGCAATTAGTCTCCAATGTAACAATATTTTTTATATTATTGTTATATTTCCATGTAACCGTAGCCAGTGCCATATATTTATATGCTGTTAACAGGATATTGTAAAGTATTCTGTAAAAGGTTTGCTGATTTCGTCCCCTTTCACAGGTACAAATGTAACACCTGACTCATATTATTACATGAGACGGAAACGCTGCTTAATGAAATTTAGGTAGTTTTCAAAAATAAAAATTGGAAAGTTGCGAAAAAAATTGTTTTGTTTGTCGGATATAAGTCGATCCGGCCCAAAGTCGATCCGTCCCAAGTCGATCCGGCCCACGTCGATCCGGCCCAAAGTCGATCCGGCCCCATAATAAATTATGAATAAACTATATTGACTTTGGAGGATTTTGTGACAAATTTTAACAGTATAAATGGAATTTGCAAAAAGTATCGATTGGTTTACCAGTCAAAGAATTATTTTAAATCGATACGAAAGTGAGTGTGATTGTGTCTGTTTGTATAGCAGCTTCAACATATTAATATGAAGTTATTTTCCATGATAACTTTGAATGTCATGGCGATTTTTATTTTATTTAATTCACATACAGAATAGCTAAATAAATATTTACAGTCCAGTGGAACCTATAAAATTTAACTCATCATATAATGACTTGTTTAATCAAATCATTAGTCTATAATTGGTTTGTTTATTCAACAATTGTCTGATGATTGTGAACTAAGGTAATGCCACTCGTAATCACTTAATTCAATCAAATCCTGATTGATTAAAGTTACGTAATCAACAAGGTCTTTATAGTTTGATCTTTTGTTTGGTGTTATTTGTTATAATAATTAATTGTATTTTTTTTTCAGGTAACATCAGAGGCTTCTATATAACACATGTTTTTTTTTTTTTGTAATATCGAATATAGTTAACATATTTTTTATTTAAGTTGACAATATTTTGAATAGTTCTGTATAGATAAAAAACAAGTTATATGACTATCCATTATTCTTTATTGCAAGATAATAACAAATTAATTACACTGAATGCACATTTTCACTCTCTAAAATATAATATCAGCACTACTTTAATATAACAATAAATTCATACACACTAACAAACACTCTATCTCTGACACTCACATAAATATATATAACTTTTTAATCATTTACACTAACAGTTACACTGTCACTTACATAATATAAAAGGGGTCACACTTGCAGCACTACAATAACATATACAGTTACTATCATACGCAGTACATATATAATATATAGAACAACTAACAGCACTATACTTGTTCAATTTGATTAGCTCACCAATTGCAAGAACAAACGCACTATATTAGTCTAAACATAAAGAATTCTGGTTCAGGTTCAGGTGCTGCTTCTGGTTCAGGTCGGATGTAAGTGGAAATGAACGAATTATGCGGCGAATATGGGTCTCTCACTCTACTTGTTTTATACTCATCTAAAGAAAATATTTGTCAAAGGCCACTTTTTTTACCGTACACCTTTTACATTATAATAAAATTCATAAACCTTTATGAATTACAATTAATATATATCTTTATTTTTATTCCTTATAAATATATATTTTTTATTGGGGCCGGATCGACTTTAAATATGGGCCGGATCGACGTTGGGCCGGATCGACGTGGGACGGATCGACTTGGGCCGGATCGACGTGGGGCCGGATCGACATGAAAGCGAAAGGGATGGCGAAAAAAATAATTTACCGAGGAGGAAAGCTGGGTATGGATACTTTTTGACCTGACCGTACCTGTGTTCTTTATTGTTGATGAGCTTTTTCATTTCTTTAGCAAATTCTGTAATATTGCCTTCCATTTTTAGATCGTTAGACATTCTTAAAGATTTTTTATCACAATTTGATAACTTTTCCACTGTATCCAAGCACTTGTTTTTCCGGATGTAGAATTAAACACGAGTCTCAGTTCCGGTTTCGTAAGCTTAAAGTGTTCATTCACCTTCCAGAGACATTAAACTCTTGTCTAACAATATGTAAGGTAAATCAGCAAAGCAATGCAAATATGTTTTAGCAAAGACAAGCTTTATAAATATAGAAATTGAAATCAATACATATTTGTCATCAGTCATAAGAATTATGCTATAAAAATAAAAATACGGTTATAAATCGTTTTTGTATGCAAAAGTGTTTGTCCACCTTTTTAGGGCTTTTACATTATTTACAGATAAAAAGATGAATATGAAGATACTGCTCAAGGGATCGTAACTGTCAGTTATGGTCACTGCCATTTTATGTATGAACGGACATGTTGCTTATAACATATGGCATACTAACTTCAGATAAATATTTTTATTCCATTTTTGTTTACATACGAGTCAGATTATTCTGCCTACATCCTGTGAGTAAAACCATAGATGTATAAACCCTTCAAATACTTATGTTTATTTTGATTTCTTTCGTATCATAAAATTATGTCTGATTTAGTTTTGATCTATTTCCAGAATAAATGATCTAGAGGCATGTATATGTAGTCCTCTCAGATAAAGCATATATATATCTATAAAGCCTGCTTTTGTATACATGATCTTCCAATTAGGAAATTTTTGTAGAAAGATTTGACTTCTTAAAGCAAATATTTTCTCACAAGAATGTCCTGTGACACATTTTCCACCCAATGGCCTCAGGTAAACTGGGGTCTGTCATGTTCATTCATGAAAGGAAATTGGAAAACTTGATCGTCTATAGAACTTTTCTTCAAATCAATTAAAAGGTTTATAGGTTTCCAAATTAAACCATATACCATCCTCTTCAATATCGTGTGACTAAAATGTTAGTTCAGATAAGAGAATGGATAAAAGTTATAAGCCTCCAAATTTATGTGCAGATCCCATGACAATGTGCTTGATTTATTTGACTGTCCTTCTTTTTAAGTGCTACAAAATGGCAAACTATGGCATTAGTTTTCATTTCAGGTGAAAATTGCTGACATTTTGTTGTTTTAAAAATCATAATTAAGTTAGAGAAACTCATACCTAAAAATATATCAGACAAAAATCAACACAATTGTAACCCTTTATTGGTTTGCTAATAAAAGATTTTTAAAGTTCAAGTCTATGTTAAAACTATAACTTATATGTAATAAAAATTATTTCAAATTGAATTCCTTTTAAACAATATTCAAGAAAAACGGTGAACTTCTGATGCTACAGTCAAACAAATTAATAACTAGGGAATTCATGAAATCCAAATGTGGAATTTGCAGTCCAGACTATTTTTTCTGATATGGCTTATCTGTACAGTGCTTGCCTATATGACCATTACCATAAAATCTTGGTGTGAAATACTACTTTTTATTACACCTTCAATCGACTATTTTCACATTACAGACTTTTGACTTCAGATTATATAATTTTTCGTCAGGTTACTTTCTTGGTGGTAGACCATCTTGGTATTTGGTCATGTAAGAACAACCATAAGAAGTAAAATCAAACATATAATCCATGCAATTTGGGAGGAAAGTTTACTGTTATCAGATGATTATGTCGAGTATAGAACACATGAAACAGTTAATTTTCCCCCAACATTTTACCTTAGCTGTTTTAAGCAGTCAAACAGCTACTTTCATTACTTCTGCATGCTACATAAATAAATTTGTTTCACATATAATATGTATTTGCTGTTAATTTTTGTCCACTGAAAATCTTGTGCATATCAGTTCAGAAAAGTTTACAGGCTTCATGTGTATTGTACTTTGTTTTAGGACAATGGACATTAAGGGTTTGTTTTAGGACAATGGACATTAAGGGGAGATAATTTTTGTATTGTGAAACTGACAAACTTTGTACTTTTCGTATTCATATGAAGCCGAATCATATGAAAACCTTCTATAAGACAAAAAGATAATGAGAGAGCATCTTGGCAAATTATTTAGTTTTTTGTTCAGACCTATTGATGATGTCCTATCACTCTATAACATGAATATAACCCATATTTCAGCAAAGGCAGATCCAGGGGGTGGTCACCCGGTGCACGTTACCCCTCTGGGGTTGACAAAAATGGTGCACCATGTATATTTTATTATAATATTTTGATTAATCTTTCAATTTGTCTATCAATGGTAATAACTTACCTAAAGGCAAACAACTTACATGTATCTTGACATCTTAATCGCTGATTACATGTTCCTTGTATAACCATACTTGTTTAATGACTTTTAATTACTCCTTCCATTCCTTTGATATGTAGGTGTGAAACTGAAGAGATAGTCCTCAATCTTAGATGTTTTCAGTAGATAATAATTCTATTTATATTGCGTTTATCTAAATTTTAAAAGTTTAAATTTGTATGACAACTTTCCTGAACATTGATGGTTTTCTACTGTGATGCCAAAATTCAAAATATTATTTTTTTGTTTTTGAGTCTTATTAACATTCTTAATCCCATATTCCTCTTCTATCAATTTTCAACAAATTCGGGCATTTTATATTTTTTGTAACTTTTACCCTCTGTCCTTCAGGAAACGCCACAAATCAGCCCCTTCTGAAGTACCATCGTCTCGTAATAGACTTAGCATTGATATGAGCAAAAATGGTGATTGTTATCATGAAAAACCCGTGACATATATATAGGTATAAACAACATTGGCCTTGTGAAGCAATCAACACGTCAAATAACAAATGAACAAAAAAGTAATTTCACAAGGAATCATTTTCAACCAGGAACAAACTGTAACTTTCCCATAAAGAAATATGCAGTAAAGAACCGACTGTTTCAGAGAAATAGGCTGATTAAATATGACGGGCTTGTGTACTCCCCATCAAAAGAAGAGCTTATTGTATATATTGTGCTCAATGTGCGGTTGAAGATTTAAGAACCTAGCATAAAACCATAAACTGATATGGTACATGCTTGTACTAGACTAAACGAATATCTCGGCCTGGAGGACACAACTTGTAAAAAGAGCCACGCTGAGGCAAGAGCCAATGACAGACAATATTGAGAAAAAGATGGTCAAAATACAAACTTTTATTGATGCATTGATACACTTGTATTAAAATTTACATTTAGAACTTTATGTGATTGTTGACACGTTTGCATGCAGGAATCCACAAAAAATGAAACTGGAATCAATTTTATTAGTCTTGTTTAACCATTTGCTTCAATTTTTTTTAATTGTTACTATTTTCATGACATTAATATCAATAAAACAAAATTTGAATTTAATAAGAGTTTGTAAGGTGACCTCCCCCTGACAAAATTCTAGATCCGCCCCTGTTCAGTGAGTCCTTACATAATACATCTAACATATCCTTCTACACTTAGTCAACTTTATATCTGGATCTTTTTGTTGAAATTGACACAGGTGGAGAAATTCAAACTTTAGGTAGGATCTAGGACGTAAATGACAGTTTCAGTTTTCCCATTTTCAACTTCCAATCTATCAGTCACAACAGATATAATCCTCTTCCCAAATGTATGACTTATAAATTGCTCCATTGATACAAAGCAGGCATTTATTTTCATGTTATATGGACTTTTATTAACAGGGATATGCTCCTAACACAAAAAATCTTACAGCAAGGAAAAAAAATTGAATTCACACTTCACAATTTGAGATGGGCACCATCATAAATTGGTTCACAGTAATTATTTGTTTGTGTCTCGACATGTTTTCGTGTTCTTAGATCTTAAGAAACCGGAAGAGTCGTTTGAACTGAAAATTTACACATACTCAATAGCTTCCTATTCCCTGTTGTGAGATTTTTGTACTCAATCTGGATAAGCATGGTGGTTGATGCATACCCAACATAAAAAACTTACCTTGTAACGCTTGTTGATGCCCTTGTTAGAATTTTGTACTTAATCTGGATAAGCACGGTGGTTGATGCATACCCAACATAAGAAGCTTACCTTGTTGATTCACCTGTTAGATTTTTGTACTCAATCTGGATAAGCATGGTGGTTGATGCGTACCCAATATTAAAAGCTTACCTTGTTGATTCACCTGGCCTTGCGGTTATAAAGATTTCGAGCACGATTATTGTACTCAGACTCAGAAATCTACCAATCAGAATACTGGATTTGGTGTTTCGAGCACAAATTTTGTACTCCAAGAACTGAGTAAAGTTTTATGACCGAGACCCCTGGTCTTGCTTCCTTCTAAGTTCATGGAATTCCCACAGTTTATTCATCTTGGTTGATATTTCAAATGAATTGATGAGTTTAAAACATTTGTAAACTACTGTTCAATCTTCGTTCCTATATTTTATTTTGTCTTTTTATTCATTTGGTTATTTCAATAAAATGGTATCTGGTGTCAAAAAAAAGGGGGATGTTTATCGATGATTAGCCAAGGGATGTGGATAATCCTATCATTCATTCAGAAAAACTGGAAATAGCTGCATGAGATTATTTGTCTGATATATACTACATTTATAATAAGGATCCTGGGTAATATCAAATGTCATGACTGTCCTTGTTTTTGAAATATCAACTTTTTACAAGTCGAAATCAGTGATACTGTGTGTACCTTTGAAAGTTACACAAGTTTCTACCTGCATAACTCTTGAATTAAAATTCTAAAGACAAAATAACTGTATGTTGTCATTAAAGAACATATATTCAGCTGTTGCTCATTTATTGTAGATCTGCTATAATCATGTGATAATGTCATTGATTATGGTATTATACTTTAAGTAGAAATACTCAATTTAACATATTGCTACCAATACTATATAGACTTGCAAAAAATCTTTAAAGTCCAAATTGTGGGTAATACATACATTTTTACGCAAGTGAATGAGATTTCAAAGATAGGATTAGAGGCCTGTGAAATACTGGGTAAAGAAAAACTGAGACCATAACAAGTCTGTCCTATTTGGACTTGAATAAGTCTGAAAATGTATTTTATTCTACTTGTAAGTACATTTTCTCTGCTTGGAGCAAGGTTGCATTGCAGTCCAAATTTTTATGCCCCACCTATGATAATAGAGGGGCATTATGTTTTTTCGGTCTGTGCGTCCGTTCACCCGTCCGTTCGTCCATCTGTCCCGCTTCAGGTTAAAGTTTTCGGTCGCTTCAGGTTAAAGTTTTTGGTCAAGGTACTTTTTGATGAAGTTGAAGTCCAATCAACTTGAAACTTAGTACACATGTTCCCTATGATATGATCCCAATTTCATGGTCCGCTGAACATAGAATATGATAGTGCAAGTGGGGCATCCGTGTACTATGGACACATTCTTGTTATAAGATTAATCTGATTTACTGTGATAATTCTAAAAATTGCAAAAGCTTTCATTCTTCTTTTTTATTTTGTCTCTTTAAATTTGTTCATAAGGTTATTTTGGACTTCAATAAGTCCAAAAGTGAATTTTATTTTTTTTTTGTACATGTAAGTACATTTACTCTGATTGGAACAAGGTTACATTGAAGTACAAATTTTAACAAGATTTTTCAGATCATCTGTGATAATAACAAAACCTTTTGTTCCTATTTTCTATTTTGTCCTTTTGTTCATATGGTTATAAATAACTTATTTTGGACTTGAATAAGTCTGAAAATGGATTTTATTTTTCTTGTAACTAAGTACTCTGCTTGAAGCAAGATTGCATTTGAGTACAAGTTTTTACAAGATTTATCAGATATTCTTTGATAATACCAAAAGCTTTCGTTCCTATATTTTATTTTGTCTTTTTATTCATTTGGTTATTCCAATAAAATGGTATCTGGTGTCAAAAAAAGGGGGTTGTTTATCGATAATCAGCCAAGGGATGGGGGTAATCCTATCATTCATTCAGAAAAACTGGAAAGCTGTAAGAATACTGTTCTCTGATTACACTATTTGGTAAACAATAAAAAAGTTTAAAGTTGAATCATTTTAATTTATTTGCCAAATGAACATTAAAAACCTATCTGTTTAAGTGAAAAAAACAAACTGAAAGATGGTTTAAAATTGAAGTTGAAATAATAAATAGAAAAAAAACAGTCAAATACTCCAGACTTTGCATAGGCACAAAAAATATAGGACTGATATATTTTTGTATTTATGCAAGTCGAAATTTGATGATTATATTCATTGAAAATATTAGAAATCATTTGTCCCTTCATAATCGTCTATTCATCTGAAGAAGCTTTAAATTGATATTTTATAGTGTGTCTTTCTATATTGTGATGTTACAACTATTGTTACAGGTAGGGTGAAGGTTGGCGCCTATTAAAACGTTTAAACCCGCTGCATTTGTTTGCACCTGTCCTAAGTTAGGAACCTGATGTTCAGTGGTTGTCGTTTGTTGATGTGATTCATAAGTGTTTTACATTTCTTGTTTTTTATATAGATTAGACCGTTGGTTTTCCTGTTTGAATGGTTTTACACTAGTCATTTTTGGGGCCCTTTATAGCTTGCTGTTCGGTGTAAGCCAAGGCTCCGTGTTGAAGACCGTACTGTGACCTATAATGGTTTACTTTTATAAATTTTGACTTGGATGGAGAGTTGTCTCATTAGCACTAATACCACATCTTCTTATATCTATTAACCAAAACAGACTTGTTCCAGTCTGAAGACTAAAAATGACTCCTTCAGGTCGATTCTTGTAATAAGGGGACATAATCCCTACTGAAAAATAAGTAATCTATGTGAATTTTCAGCTGTACACAAATTGACTTGCAGAAGTCATTTTATGTTTAAATTGAGGTTTGTCTAATATTGACTTGATTAAGTTGAATTGCGATTCATGAAAAAAGAGAGATAACTCTTGTATTTTACTTATTTTGATTTGTAGAAGTCAAAACATGTTTTGACTTGTACATGTCTGAGCTCTGACTGTTTATTGCTCTTATTAACATCCTAAGAGTGATTCAAGTTAATCAAAACCTATCTTCCAAACAAAATTTTTACACTACACAGTAAAAGAATTTTCATTTTGATGTAAAATTATATTTGAAGTTGATTTAATGTGGTTTTTTTTTGTAGGTGGATATAGTGTCAGTGAAAATGCTAAACTAAAATCACCAGACAATGAATTACACAAGATTTCTCAACAGGCTCAGTCTGGCTAGAAAGCCATCACCTATTCGTATCATGAGTAAGTGATTTAGAATAGCTTATTAATCAGAATGGTCTTCTGTTTTTGATTTTATTCTGTCATGTCTGTGGTACTTAAAAATACTGCTGATGAATATCATGAAACACAACTGATGAATGGATGCTGATGTATTTCAAATTATTAAGCTGAGTAAAATGATGGTTATGCCTCTGGTAACAAACTAAAGAAGTACATTTGGTAGATAAGAAAACATTTTTTTTTTTCTATATCTTTTTATAAAATTTACCAATATTTAGGGTATCAGTAACTACATTGTATGAGTACTCTTAGACTAGTACCTTTTAGCATTTGTCATTTTTTCTGTTGTTTTTATGCTTAGTTCAAATCTGCCCATTTCAACTGATTTTTACAGTTTATTCGAATGTTGTGCTGTTACACCACTGTTCCAGGTTAGACATGTTAGATGGAGGATTGTCATTGATATTACAATTCTGAAAAATACCAACAAGTTTATGGTTGTAATAAAAAAGAGATGGACTAGTAATTGAAGACTCACTTATTTTTTAAGCTAAATAAAGTGAGGTATAGAAACAAATCTTAAAACACCAATTTTTATGTGTTGAGGCAGATGAAGCAGATAGTCTATTATTTTACACAAATTATAAATTCCAAGGTTCAAACAGATTTTAATGGTGTAGTTAGTTTGAATATAATTTCAGAGAATTAAGACATGTCTTGGAACAAATACCCTTTAGTAACCAATTCTATTTTTAATGTGATTTTGCCAATACTCATTTGAAGCACATCACACTAATATTACTTTTAAGATAAATTAGATAAATCTAATATTTCAGCTGCCATTTTAAATGAGAGTTCACCAGAGATGATTTCAATGGCTGGAGGAATGCCAAATACACAGACTTTCCCAATAGTTGAGGCTTCTTTCAAACTGAGGTAATGACAAAGACTGAGGTATGACAAAGACTGAGGTATGACAAAGACTGAGGTATGACAAAGACTGAGGTATGACAAAGACTGAGGTATGACAAAGAACAATATGTGAGTTTGTTTTTCCTTCCAATTGTCAGCTGATAGTTGCAGTAAGTTATTCTAATATGAATGAGAGCCATTTAAGATTCATTTTTAAAACTCAGTTATTTTGAAAATAAATGGATTATCTTATCTGGGAAATCTCACCAATTTAGGTTAAGGTACATACTATTTGTTTAAAGCTTTATATTTCAGAAGGTAGAGGACCTGGATGCTTCATACCTTATGTGCTGTACCTTATATTACAAAGTTTCCATCTGTCATGTTCATTGTCCTTGACCTCATTTTCATGGTTCAGTGATTGCTTGAAAAAAAATTACAGTTTTTTTGCTACGTGAAATACTCACTTATTATGAGTAATAGGATAACTATATTTAGTATATGGGTTCCTTGTAATGTCTATATGTCTGTCAGGTAGGGTTCACCTGACTTCGACCTTATTCCATGGATCAAGTGATCAAAGTTAAAAGTTATGTGGTCAAGTCTGAATCTCTGATACTATAAGCAATAGGTCAACCATATTTAGTGTATGGAATGATTGTCAGGTGTACATGTCTTTCTGGCAGGTTTCATCTGACCTAGACCTCATTTTCATGGTTCATTGGACAATTTTTAGTTTTTGTGGTTTGGTTTTATTTATCAGATACTATATAAAGCATTAGGTCAACTATATTTGGTGTATGGAATGATTGTAAGGTGTACATGTCTGTCTGGCAGGGTTCATATGACCTTGAACTGATTTTCATGGTTCATTGGCCAATGTTAAGATTTTGCGGTTTGATCTGTTTCTCAGGTACTATTAGCAATAGGACCACTATATTTGGTGTATGGAATGATTGTAAGGTGTACATGTCTGTCTTGCATGGTTCATCTGACCATGACTTCATTTTCATAGAACATTGATAATGTTAAGTTTATGTGATACTTGTAGTAAAACCTTCATATTACAGACTTTCAACATGAATTCAATGATAAGTAAAACAGACGAGACATTTCAGCATGTGCACTCTTTTTGTTTTGTAGCAAGAAAATGAGTCCTGTGACCCTTATTTTATTTTTATTTTCTGAAAGCATGTAATAAGAGCTGTCTTCTCATATTTTATCCATTAGTACCGGTAGTAGGTTAAATAATATTTAGTATGAAGATCTATTAGAATTGGTACATATTATTTCCATGGAGATTATTTAGCTCCACCCCCACAGTCATGATCTATTGACTTTGAATGTTTGCATATTTTATATGTTAAAGTTTGTGATTAGATCAGTTTAAGATATGAACCAAGTTTATAATAAGTCAAATGAAATTTGGTATGCAGTTAAAAAGCATTGCCATTTCTCATTTCCATGGAGGTTATGTTGCCTTGCACCTTCAGTCATGGTTAAATACCTTTGAATGTTTCATATAGATTACATGTTTAAAATTATCTTTCTAATATCAACATTTGCATTATACATGTACATGTACTATCAAAATTACAAAAAAGAGAAACATATTTATGTTTTAACAGTCTATTAATATTTATAATTATGCTAGATCACAAGCTGACAAAACCTTCACATCATTCATTAGTGAGTGATTAAGAAAATTAATTTATTATAAAATTCATACAATTTATATTCAATTATTAAAATCTTTAATTACCGGTAGCTGATTTTAAAAAGTGTTGGTTTTCAACAGACTTTATTTGATTTTGTACAACATGTTTATGCAGATATTGCATATAATCTAGAAATAAACTATATTTACATTTTAGGGATGGTACTGTGTTAGAGCTTGACCAGAACATTATGAATAAAGGATTACAGTATGCTCCTACACCTGGGTTTGTATTTAATAAATAGTATACATTTACTAAGTGAAATCATAAGATTTATTAAAAACCATGCTAAAGAGCTGCATCTGTTTGGCAGTGCTGAATGTATAAAAATGTACGAATATGTAGCCACATCAGTTGGGATGGGGTATTAAATCTGATGCCTGGTGTAAGTTTAAGAAGTCTTGCCTGCAACAACTCTATGAGGGGACTATAAGTGGCCTGTTTCAAGGCCAAACTTTGGCCCCTATCTAACTCACATTTCCAGTGACAGTTTAAATTTACCATCCTCATCTTGGTCAACCCACTTTGAAGGAGCTACCTATGCGATGCCTCCATACGCTAAAGTCCGATGGTCCGCGAAAGTATAGACGTAGGAAACGTATTTGGATTATGACGTTAAGGGTCGTTTATACAAACCAAAAATGAGTATACCTGAAGATAAATTAGGAGTATTTGATAAACAACTTTTAAACCAAATGTCCATGACTTAATTTCAGACCTAAACGTGCTTTGTCGGCTGAAGCAAATGTGTTGTTTTTTTGGGGTGCTGGAAGAATGACTTGTGTCTTGCACTCGACCATTTTACTATATAGCTACAAAATAGCATATGCATAGGTATCCTGTATCCTGCTTCTATTGGAAACTAACAGATACATTTAAATAATTGTTTACGTTGCAGTTTACTTTGCGGTCCCCATTAAAATATTGTCGATTTTATCGAAAAGTAACGTCGGTAAAATTATAAATTGTCGGCTAAAACATTAGTTTGTACATGGGGATAGCGGGAGGATTTTTTCCCGATTGCTCATTTATTTTCATTGCGTCGTATGCATGCCGATTTTTTTCTCTCTCACTTTTTTACACATTTGTTTTCTGCATTTTGTGTTGCAGAATATTCATTTACATCCTGCTAGTGTAAATTTATCTATTTTAAGTTATCAGGCCAAGTTAATCATATTCAAAATCATGGTTCCCCCTCACCCCGAAAGTAAATATAACATGTATTTGTACTCGTTACGAAAAAGGAGAATATCGCATTTATTTAGCATTTAAATTAAAGCTTGTTCAAATAAATGTTACTTATTCAGACAATGGATGCATTTTGTATTTGTAATTTACAATGACGACTGTAAAGGGGGGGGGGTCAGATAATTGATAGACTGTGTTAACGGCAAGCTATACCAATTATCCAAATATTTAATACGCCCGAATTGTTAAAAATTAATTTTACAGGAAATATAGTATTTTGTGACACCAAAATTACCTTTTAGCAATTATTACGTGGACGTTCTTCTAAATTTAGAAGCAATCACTTTAGCCTACCGGTAAATTAAAAAGCCTATCACATATATTTAATATACCTTAGCATACTAGCTTTTGCAAAAAGACTATTTTTTAACATCCTTGTACTTTAATGTTTTAGGCCCTTGAACCGTACCCTATTGGTCCATTGCACTTTAGCGTGATATACCATCATACTTTAGCAAACAAACAACCATCGCACTTTAGCGTGAGACACCATCCTACTTTAGCGTAGACCATCACACTTTAGCGTGACTATCGCACTTTAGAGTACCATCACACTTTAGAGTGCTAATTTGTTCTTGTCCTGACTATGCATGGCATATTTCCATTGGGTGTTACATAACAATAAATCAATCAATCAAAGCTTTATTGTTAGTGTGTGAAGTAGTGGTATACCTTGCTTTGGGAGGAGATGCAGGAAGGGTAACTGTTTTGATTTTCTGACAAACTTAATTAGATATTGACATACCACAAATCTCTTGTAAATTTATTCTTCATTGAATACAGCCCAAATAAAAATATATCTTAGGGTGCTAGTTTTACTGGCTACATGTGCAGTCAAACATAATTACTGCCATTTATGCAAATTCAATAATGATGCTGAATAATTTGATTTTTTTTAATAATTAAGATTGCTACAAAGAATGGCAAGCTTAGTTGAATTTAAATGAGTATTGTTGTCTTCCTTATATCTGCTCTCCACTCGAAAGGGTTAAATTTTCAGATTTGAAGTAGAAACCTTTGATCTTTTCATTTTGATATGGAGTAAGAGTTTGATATAAGTATCATGTATCACAGTATGCTACATGTACTGAATTGTTTTATTATCTCCATTTTATGACACCTGTAACTTGAGTTTTGTTTACGGAAGTTAAGCATTTACAATTAATAAGATTAAAAGATGTGAGGTAAAACTCAGATTGAAACAGGAACTTAGCAATCTAAGTAAACAAAGTAGACATCTAGAGGTCACAATATGGTAATCGTTGTTTTAAAATTATACCGGTATATACCATTTTTTCTAATGTCACATGATAGCAAGCGTATGAAGTAATGATAAAACATTTCAAATCGTGGGAGTTTATTTAGCAAAATGTATGTGAAAAAAAGGGGGAAAAAATATGTATTACTATATAAAAAGGTGTTTTAAAAAGTGACATGGGTGCAATCATACTCATTTATTTTAATTGTTTTTCTCATGTTATCAGAAGGTTTATGTGCTTGATTTCTGCCTAACCTGAGATGAAAAATACAAAAGAGAGATTCAGAAATGCAGTTTTTGGCATCTTCCATTAAAAATAGTCAAAGTTTGTGATTAGGCCAGTTTCAGAGACTATTACAGGAAGGTCAATGATATTTGGTAATCAGTTGTATTACATTCACACATGTCATTTCAATAGAGGTTATTAGGTCTTGTCCCCTCAAACATGGCCCATTGGCTCAGCAACTTCTCCATAGTTTACATGTAAAAGTTTATGATGAGGTCAGGTTAAGGACAAAAGAAAACAACATTAAAAAAACATAAAAACACAATGATAATAATTGTAATGATATCATAGTTCTTCACCTTTTCTTTTTTTTTTCTTCACAGTCTTCCTGATTTGGTCCAGTGGATAAATGGTTTACAGTCTAGAGTGCATAACCCACCAACTTATAATGATAAGAGCCACCCAGGTCAAATGGAATGCTTAGTAACCTGTGGGAGTCAGGATGGCTTATGTAAGGTAATAAATGATTTATACAAAAAAAAAGATAAATATGAAATCAGAATTATCTGATACAGTGACAGTATTAAGGTGGTACATAACACTACAGGGAGATAACTCTGTAAAAATCAGCCGAACGTTTTAATCACGTTCTAATGTTAAGGAAATATTAAGCTTCTCAATGATCAAAATTAGTGTTTGTCAAACTGCTATATATCCTATGAAATTTTTCCGATAAAGTGCGTGGTTCAAGTTTTTTGAAATTTTTATAATTTTGTCAAAGGATCAAAATAAATATTTTGTCAAAATTTTATGAAAATTAAACGAGCCAAATTAATTTTAGTCAAGGTGTTTGGTACCACCTTAAATAACTATAGTGACAGTATTAAATAACTATAGTGGCAGTATAAAATAACTACCGTAAGTACAGTGACAGTATTAAATAACTATAGTGACAGTATTAAATAACTATAGTGGCAGTATAAAATAACTACCGTAAGTGTAATAATTTTTGATACCAACCATACGAGGGCTTTATAGCCAGTCAAGGTCGTTAAACACTCCTGTAGTAATAATTCTTTATAGAACTTACCATTGAAAATTTGTTTTTTAATACTAGTTTGGTATACCATGTATACAGAATATTAAGAGGATATTTAGAATGGAGAATATGAGGATAATTAAAAGGTCTACTATCTGGATAAAAGGAAGACAACACTAAATATTGATTAGAACCAAAATGGCATTTGACAGTGGCCATTTTATAAACACTTTATATCTCATCTTTAGCATTTAGCCTATTATGGCCATTGTCATGAAAAACTACAGGTTATTCTTTCATAACAGATTTTAAGGCATATTATGGGTTCTTGGATCCTAGCTTTAAAATAATACCTATCCTGAATCATTGAGAGCCGTAGATGATTTCTTTTCATGGTTCAAAGTTTTTAAGTGAAAGTCATTGTGTCTTAAAACCAATTCTTTCTGTCCGTCTGTCCAAGAACACAATATTCTTGTGACTTTAAAATAAATGTTACACATGGGTTTCCTCAGTTAGATTAATTTTCCTTAATTTCTTTAAAGTAGAATTTGCTATATGATCCCAAACATTCACTTTGTTAACAGCCATACGACTTTCCTGGCTATACTGATATAAGCATATGACTTGCCTGACTGTAAAATTTTAGTATATGACTTGCCTGACCAATGATTGTAGCATATAACTTGCCTGACTGTACTATTTTAGTATATGACTTGCCTGACCAATGATTGTAGCATATAACTTGCCTGACTGTACTATTTTAGTATATGATTGCCTGACCAATGATTGTAGCATATAACTTGCCTGACTGTACTATTTTAGTATATGACTTGCCTGACCTATGATTGTAGCATATAACTTGCCTGACTATAAAATTTTAGTATATGATTTGCCTGACCAATGATTGTAGCATATAACTTGCCTAACTGTACTATTTTAGTATAAGACTTGTCTGACCAATGATTGTAGCATATAACTTGCCTGACTGTATGATTTTAGTATATGACTTGCCTAACAGTACTGATTTTTACAGTGCACGTCTTTAATGGTATATATTAAAACTTGATTTTGAAAACTGTTTAACCTGTAGTCCATTGGTTATCTTTGGTTTTTATGCCCCACCTAGGGGCATTATGTTTTTCCGTCTGTGCGTCTGTTCATCTGTTTGTCCATCCGTCCGCCGTCTGTCCTGCTTCAGGCTAAAGTTTTTGGTCAAGGTAGTTTTTGATGAAGTTGAAGTCCAATCAACTTGAAACTTAGTACATATGTTCCCTATGATATGATCTTTCTAATTTTAATGCAAAATTAGAGTTTTGACCCCAATTTCATGGTCCACCGAACATAGAAAATGATAGTACGAGTGGGGCATCTGTGTACTATGGACACATTCTTTGTTCTGATATATTTTGTTTGTTTTATGTTATTGCTTTTTTTAGAGTTAAGATGTGAATTTTTTTTTTTTTCTTTTAAACATTTAGATTTCATTTTCCAAGAGGTTTAAATTGATAATCCTGAAGTGAAGGGCACTGTTTATTTTTGACTACAAGGATTTGTGTTTTTTTAGATTTTTCCCTTCACATTCTTTCATCTTTGATTGCCATTTGTCATATTTACAATCATACCAAATTCCCTCTATTTTATAATGATGGGCCAAAAAAACTAAATAAGATGAATTGGATTTATTTATTTTATGGGTACAAATTTTCGTGGATTGAGGAAAAATGTGTTTTGATAGATACATGATTTTGTTGCTTTAACAAATTCCACATATAATTCTACAGGAAATTTTAATTTCTTTGAACACTTAATTTCATGATTCACCTATATCCACAAAATTTATGAAAATTAATACTTAATGAATAATAATGAATCAGCTGTGTTCTTATTGTAAACTTAGATACTTAGCACTTATGCATATATTTACTTTAAAAGTAAATTATTGAAATATTAGTAAAATCTATTACAGCCATATTTATCTTTTTCAGACCAGTATGATATGGCATATAGAGTTGTCTTTCTTTACCTGTTTTCTTGTATGGTGTTTGTGAATATGGATCATTTAAAATGCTGTTTTCTATTCTCAGGCATTTGAAGCTTTAGTCTCTGAAGGAGATAATGTTTTATTGGAGCATCCAACATACTCAGGTACTTTAGCTATAGTAAGTAGTATAAATAAATTTCTTTTTTTATTCAAGATTTTTGATACTGAAAGTCATGTTTGTGCCAAGGCTTCCAAAACGGTCATATATTCCGGACAATTGTATAATGTCCGGTAAAAGTCCGGCTGGGCAAAGCATGAAACGGTCATCTACTTTTTAGTTGTCAAGGCTTTCTTAAGAGACGGTCATTTTAGCATAATTCACGATCTTTTTGACCCAACCTTTTGCCTTTAACAGCCACACATTTCCGGTCATAAAAGTGACATGATGATTAATTACTATCAAAACAACCCCTACTTCAATACTTTCTAATTTTAATCAAGGCTTATTAGTTGTTGGACAGCTGAAATCTACCTGTTCAGGTGACAGGTAAACTATTTCCAGTACCGGACATAGTATAAATTGATCGGTCTATTCAAAGTTAATTTCTTACATTTCAGCGGTTTCTATCTAATTGATTTAGTCCAAAAGATTGAAATTATAAGAAATACGTTTATAAACATGATTTGATGGAAAATTTAAAAAGGTTTTAAATGAAAAATCGTAAGAACTACGTTGTATGAACTAGAACACGTGTGCGCATGTGCACAGTAGGGAAATTTAATTATGCATCCTACATTTCTTAAAAAATGATAAAAATTATCATTGATTCCTGTATCTAACGTTCATTTCAAGAATTTTGTTGAAGAAATAACGTGGAAAGAGCTTCTTCACTCAGTCGTGCTTTGTGAACGTACACGGATTTTACGTATCTGTTTCTGTTCCAAGTTTTACCATTGTCAGGTCAACATCCGGTATTCGGAAAATGTGATTTTAAAAACGAAAGTAAAGTTTTTGACAACATAATTTTGCCACAAATAAAGAGTCTAAGGCAGTTATGAGCACGCTGATGTGCACACTTAGAATTATGCACTGCCAATTTAACAGTTTACGTCCGAACATCAAATTCACATCAAAGTAAAGTTTAATATCGTTTTTTTTTTAATCTAATGTCAATCATTGGGATGGCCATCTGATTACCATAATTGCCTTTTGTGACTTAGTCTTAAGGGATTAAAATCGGGATAAGATATAAAATGTCCGGCTGGCTCAAATATTTTTTGGCAGCCCTGGTTTGTGCATTAGTTTAAACATTTGAAAAATGAACCAAACAGTCAAGGATGTTTGCTTCACACATGTTTAACCTTTATCTAATATATTGTATTATTTCCTTTACAAATTTATTAAAAAAGGAAGAAAAATTACCCAGTAGCACATGTTATTTCTTATTTTTTTTTTAGAAAATGCTTTAATTTTAAAGTATCCATAATTCCTCTATACTTTTCTTAATTTTGCAGTCATCTACGGCAATACATTTCCTGTGCAAAATCTTTAGACATTTTCTTTCCTTCAATTTGAATCTAAATAAATTTCCGATGAAAAAACACTGTTATTTAAATATCAGTATAACTGCCAATCTCAGTATGATTTTAAGTTCTTAAGAATAGAGTGTGAATCAAACTGACATTTAGAAGTCTATAAACTGTTGATTACTACAGGCTTTCTTGCTCTAAGTAAGAGTTTTTTAAAGTACTTCAGGGACATCCAACATAGGGTCATTTGGATCATTTCGGAGAAATTTAATGATTTCAAAGGACAAATTGTGAATTTTGAGTCCTGTCTTGTGTATACCAGTTGGTTCCAACATGTTACTTTTAACATATCAAAGATGTTGCCAGGTGAAATTCAAATGGATGTTTAATTTTTCAACATATTGAATGAAATGTTTTTACACTTTGCAGGTCATTTGATATCAGTTGTGCTTCTTCCTTTATAAGGTTTAATTAAGGCTCATCTTTCGCTTCACTGAATATTTTATGTTTTAAAGTTTTAAACATCTTTAAAAAACCAGATTTCCTTCTGATATTGAATTTTATATTTTACCAGGTTGGACCCATGGCAGCAAACCTTATACCAGTAAACTCAGATAGTCAGGGATTAGATCCTAGTCATTTACGAAAGACACTTTCCAGATGGAGTCCATCTGATGTGTCAAGACCAGGCAGTGGTGTGCCTAAAATTTTATATTGTATACCTAATGGGGGAAACCCCACAGGAACTAGTCTTAGTTTAGAAAGAAAGAAAGAGATATACAAGATTGCCCAGGAATATGATTTATTGATATTAGAGGATGATCCATATTTTTATATACAGTTCACAAAGGTACATTCATTTATAAGATTAGTTTGAAGCTTATAGTTATGCTTACATCAGGTAGAAATCATGTAAAATAAGAACATACAGGTTTTGGTCTTTTCTCCAAAATGTACTTCTTTGATACATTTGGAGTTTAATGCCACTTTCTTTGAATGGATATCTCTATAATGAATTTTTAACAAAGAAGAAAAAGCAGTGTTAAGTAATAAGTAAATAATAAGATTTGAAGCATACAAAAGAGGAGGGACAACCTCTTACACATGACACACTGATTTGTCTTATATTATATATCAGTTGCAGTGATGATTTTATTAATTACAAGCAATTCTTGGGGTGAACATTGCCTGCATATTTGATATTTGTTGAATGAGATTATAAACATAAACAGTTGTCATGATTATACAATTTGCATGTACACATATACATGATAAAAGATAATGATGCTTCTACACAAGAAAGACAAAATAAACAACTTTGGACTTTTTCATTATTTGTTATTACACATTATTGACAAAAAAAATGAGGCAATGGTAGCTATCCAGTACAAAAATTATACACAATGGTAAAATAATTTCGTATTTGTAAACATGTGCTTCAAGAAGGTCTTATAGGTCATCGCTTGTGACATAGTTCCCATTTTTACATAATTAATGAGCTCTGGTCTAACAGATGACGAAAAAATTGGGTTTTTGCTCTTAATTACATTCAATAGAATCCTGAAAATGACATTAAACAAGATTTTTCATTGATATCTATACATAACGCAGCTTTTCATTTATTACATGAAAATAGGAATTTGGTAGATACTGCCTCTTAGGATTGAATTTTATGTTAAAAAGTCTTTTAAGATCAAAGGCATACAGGTATTACAGAAACCTAACAATATCAATGATCCAATGAAAATGAGGTCAAGATCAGATGAATCCTTTCAGAAGGACATGTTCACCTTACAACCATATTACACACCCAAAATAGTTTACCCATTTCTTGTATTATCTGAACCTAATCAAGAAACTTAAAGTTGACCAATGAACCATGAAAATGATGTCAAGTTGAGATGAACTCTGTCAGACAGACATGTATACCTTAAAACCATTCTAGACACTTAATATAGTTGACATGTTACTCAAATGAACCTAATGATGAAAACTTAACATTTACAAATGATCCATAAAAATGAGGTCTAATTAAGTGAACTAATACACCTTATAACCATTCTATACACCCAATATAGATGACATATTAATTACAGTATCTGAGAAAAGAACCAACTCACAAAAACTTAACATTGACCAATTCACCATGAAAATTAATTATTCTGCTCTTCTACCTTCAAAAATATGGAGCTACATGTATATAAATAGGCCCAATGCTGACACTGTAGCTGCTTGATTAGCATCCCCATGTCCAGCATTCTGCGACATGCATTGTTGGCAAGACGACGAAATATATTTCTTTTTATATAATCAAGTTCGAAACATCATGCATTGTTACAGGTAGTTCAACTAATACTTTTATTGGCAGAGATGATGAGCAACAATGGTATTTGATAAAACTTTATGTAAAATATGGGCAGTATTTTTGTTTAATTGGTTTTTATACCCCTGCTCTGAAGGAGGGGAGGATACTGTTTTACCTCTGCCTGTCTGTCCGTCCATAGGTCTATCTGTTGGTCCCATAAAATTCCATCATATTTTTCTCATTAACTGCAAATCAGAGCTTCTTGAAATTTGTTATCTGGCTTCATTTGAACATGGTTTACCATGTGATGCTTTTCAGATTCATCACTCATCAACTTCCTGTTAAATGAATTCTTAAAGCCAGAGTATCATAAGTGAGCAGAAGCTCACAGTTTTACTTGTTTTCTATCAATTAATTTTATTTCAAGTTTTAATTAAAGTTTTTCAGATCATATCTGATGTTGCACTAGCTGAGGAATTCACTAACCTTAAAAACTGAAAAGCAATAGTTCTAACAGAAACAAATAACATCTGTCTTTTTTTTTTATTTATTATAATTCCAAAACTTTACACTGGAAAAACTCTGTTAATCTTTAATGTCATAAGATATTTCTAATAGTTGTCATTTTAGTTTTGCATTGTAAAGTTAGCAGGAATATGAATTCTTTATAATATGTTCAATTAAAAAAAAAACACCAAGTATTGATAGTTTTCTTTGAACTGCAAGCTTATGTATGAATATCAAGTTACATGGATTTTATTGTAGTTTCATTGCCTAATGTTTTCCATTGTTATAAGTATTTTATACATTGTGTCTGACTGAAAATACATTTTTCTACATTAAATTAGAAATAGAAATGATGATACATTTGTTGAAAGACAATACATTTTTGCTACACCTATTTATTTTCATTTGTAGCCTTATATACCCAGTCTATTATCCATGGATGTAGATGGTAGAGTTCTACGTTTTGACTCGATGTCAAAATTGTTGTCATCAGGGTAAGATAATTTAAATTTTCCATTAAATGACAGAAAATAAAAGCTTTTGACCTGAAAAAAAAGTCAATAACCCAATGATAGTATCTTAACAGTTACAAGATTTATACCTTGACCCAAGGCACTGATGTGCAATTCTGAATTATACAGGACCAGATGAGCCTTTAGGCATTCAAAAGTCCTGACCAAAGAATACTAAAAATCTTTTCAAAATAATTACCTTTGATAGTCTAGGATCAAAGATGGCCACATGCTTTCCATACACACTCAGACTCCACTTCAAAATTTTTTTTATAAAGATATTTAAATTAAATAAGGTATGGTTACACACTGCTAGGAATAGATGCAAGTCTGGTGCACATCATTAAACATTGACAACATTTGAAATATGATATATTCTGTAATATTTGTGTCTAGCTTTATATAAAATGATACTCTTGACATTTATATATATATATATATATATTGTGTATATTTCTTCTAAATAGGGTAAAGTGTGGTAAAGAAATTGTATCTTGGTATTACTTTTACTGTTTTTCTTTTTCAAATGTTCATTCCTTATTACAATGTTTTTTTGTTTTTTAAAGTTTTAGTTTTGCTGATTAAAATAAAACTTTTGTTGTCTCATTTGATGCAATTCGCAGAATGTGAGACATAGGGATGCTAAACAGAAAGGTGGAATAATAGTTATGTTGTTATTTTGAACTTTAAAAATATGCTATGTATATAATAAAAGTTAAGACTTGAATTTCATTGGTTCATTGCCTATTTCTAAATTTACCTACAAAAAGAAGTCTCAGAGCCAAAAGTTAGGAAAGCCATTGAACTCTATAACCAAGCAAAGTCTCAAAAGAATACCAGTAGACCTGTGTAGGTCAATTTTGCAACCCTTTTTCTTGTGCATTTTCGATGATCTTGTTTTATGGTGTGAAAATAATCAAATTTACATGCATCATCTGATGATTTATTAGACTATACATGTAACAAATCATAGTCCGAGCCAACATATGGACTATTGCACTGCTATAAACACAACAGTAGTAAATCTGAAGTATAATTGATCAATTTTATGCCTTCAAGGAGCATTTTGGGATTTATTCTCATGAGGAACACTTAAGCCAAATATTTGGGAAAACCAAATATGTATGAATATATAAAGATCTACATATAACCAAAAGAAGGAGAAAACCAATAACAAAAACCTCAAAGTAAAGGTTTTAATGTTGTCAGGCAAATGTCACTTTTGATGATTTTTACCCCATTTGTCTTAACTACCATACTTATTATTGTTTTTAATTTCTTCTGCTTTCCAACATTTTGCTGAGTGTTCTTGATGACCATTTATCAAGGATTGAAAATTCAATTTCCGAATGTGATCCATTGGTTTGTAAAGAAAGGATCTTGAGTAAAGTCCAATAATTTTCTTAGTCTGGTGAGTCTGCATCTCATTGACATACTGTTAATGGAAGAACTAATGGCACAAATGGAATTACTGCCCAGCATCATACATGATTAAACAACCCCCAAGATACTAGAAATAATTTACATATTGAAAAAACAACAGTTCTTCATCTTGATGTTTGCTGGAAGGCCTTTCAATATATGATAAGTAAGAATAGATACTATTTACAGTACAATTAAGATGTTACCTAGTGTCAATCTGCACGATACTTATTGATATTATTTATTACAGCTAAAGTTTTCAGTTTAATATCAGTTTAAAATCATAACACTAATGGTAAGTCAATGATATTTGGTATGCAGTTATATTAGCATATACACATCTCATTTCCATGGAGATTGTTTAGCGGCACCTCCTTAGTCATTGTCTATTGACTTTAAACTTTTGTCTACTTTATACATTAATGTTTGTGATGAGGTCATTTTAAAGAGAACCACTAATGCTAAGTTAATCATATACAGTATGCAGTATTTTTAGCATTGGCAATTATCAATTATATAGATAATTTGGCCCTGCCCCTCAGTCATGGTTCATTGGACTTGAAAGTCTTGCCTTAAATATAATAATTTCACATGTCAAAGTTTGTGATTACATGTACATGATGTAGGTCAATTTATATCCTACAAGTAAAATATCAGATTTATGATGAGGAATGGGTAATAAGTTGTTAATGGTTATTTTTTAAGGGATACAGTCTCACTTTCAGAGTACGTAAGTTAGTATCTTGTTGGCCAATGCTTTCATTATACTATATTTTCCTTTATTGTACTATATTCTTGATGTTCATCTTTTTAATCTTTCCAGGGGAACAGAGGATTTCCTTTAAATTTCAATATTTGCTATCAAAATCTACACCCAAGCAAGACATATATGGGTTATTTAAAAAAAATGTCAAATTTTCAGTACACATGTATATCAGTATGCTAAAAATTTTATTTTTAATGAAAAATGCAGTTGTACGTGTTTAAATGAAAGTATATAGGATTAATCTGTCTTAACATCAATAACAAACACGATTTAGATCTGTTTTGATGAGATTAAAATATATTCAAGTCAGATGTTTGTGGACAGTGTTAGTACAACACATTTTAAACTATTTTTTTTCCCTGTTTTCTGATTCCCTTGAAATCTGAAAAATGCACCCTTATAGAAAGTTTATAAAATCACTTTTTCATTTTTGTTCTAGGTAACATTTCTTCTACCAACTTAAAATTCAATCTGTGTACATGAAATGCATGTCTATCCTGTTACTGATACTAGAAGAACTGTTAAATTATTTCTCCCTATGAATATGGAACTATTCAGTGATGATTTCAAAAGCACAAATCATCCTTAAAATTGTACACAGCACATTTCTTGCATAACAATTTAGAAAAAATAAAATGCAATAATTTAAAAAAAAAATTAAGTGTGTATCCTTCTATTCCGTCTATGCTGTAACCAACAAATTTATTAATGACAACAATATTATACTTGTAAATGTCCAATTATGTGTTGGAAACACTGACCCCAGAAGAAAAACATTGGTCTTCTTTTACCTTAGGGGTCCCTATCCATATACAGCTATACTAAACTAACCCTAATCCATTCATACCCATGACACTAGCCCTAACCCTTTCAAATTTACCGTAACCTAGAACTAACCCTAATCCATTCATACCCATGACACTATCCCTAACTCTTTCAAGCTTATCCTAACCTAAAACTAATCCTAACCATACAAATACCAGAAATGAACACTACCCCTGAAGTAAAAGAAGGCCAAAACAATATCACGTGCAAAAAGGGAGTAGTTATTTCACAACAGCATTCACAAATATGGAATTTTTTGTCTATCCTGTTACTATGGTTCAAGTAACAGGATAGACAATATTTGACTGAAACGTCTTCAAAAAGTATATAAATATATGATTTTTTACGCATAATGAAATGCTTGGCTATTTGAACTCATTTAAAGGCTATTCCATCTTTATCTTTCCAATTTAGCACACACAAAATGCAGTATTACTATCCGTAACAGGATAGACAATACAGATAACAGGATAGAACTTAAAATGGGGATATATTGTAAAGGACAAGGTTCATTTTAGGCCAAATATGGCCTTGAATTTCAACTTTATCATAAAATTACAAAATTGCTATAATTTGGTTCTTAAATAGATGTATTTCAAAACCTTACTTCTTTTTTAAAATAAATCTCTTCGTAAGAGTTCATTCTTGGCTTCAGAATCAGCACATTTTGGATATATTGTCAAAATACGATGAATTTGTGCATTTTTCGAACCTAAAAGCTTGAGGAATTCCTTGGCGGCAACCTAGGATCCAAAATGTTCTGTAATCAAAAGTTGCCAATGATGATATTGAATCCCTAAGCACAAACTATTTCTGGCGGCCAAAGTAAATTATGCAAAAAACTTAAGAATTATTGAAAATTTGACCAAAACTGACGTTATAACACATTTATATAGTGCGTACTTCAGGAGTCAATACTTCGTCATTTTTAATGTGATCTACCAAAATGAAGTTATTTTGTGTTAACAGTAATATCGCAACTATTTCTATGTGAAATTTGTAAATGTTTGGCCTGATTAAAAAACCCATAAAAAATTTAGGGCCAACTTTAGCCCTTCGTGAACCTTCTCCTTTGCATTCCTGTTACCAAAAAAAAAAAAAAAACGACAAAAGTTAAACTATATGTGAGGGAATTGTTTGATGTTGGGTTCATTAGAAAGAGAAAAAAAAATGCTGTACATTATGAATTGCTATCTTAGACTTTTGTTTTTGGTGGTCATTTTTATAACCTTTGAAAACCCCAATTTTTAGAGGTATTTTTCAGTACAGCATGGAAAATTGACAAACAATCTATCACTATGCAGAAAGAAAATATTTACTGGTAGAAGTTTTGTTCTTGAAAACCACCTTATAGGTCATGAAAAAACAAGCAAAAATTTTATCGAGACCTACAGGAGAGACTTAATATTGCACCCCTATCTAAAACATTCTCAATATATTCTTGTATGGCTTTATTAAAATTGCATTTTTTACATGTTGTTGAAAAATTATTGTTTGTTTTGATTTGCTTATAAAAAGGATGGTCTAAACTAGTGACTTTTTTTCAATTTTTTAATTTTAAAATTCGCCATTTTTTGTAAATGACTCCTATATGTGTTAACAGTTATCTGACACAAAATTTTGAGTTTGAGCATTACTGATTTTAAAGTCCATAAGAAAGAAGCACTTTAGATGTACAAAGGTTATGAAGTGTTATTTTCTTTTTTAAGGAGCCATTACTGTTAAAACATTAATAGAAAAAAAATAACTACTGGGCAACTTATTATACCTCAACAGTAATACCCACTGTAAATGATATTGGATTTTTATCCTTTGTAAGGGTACAGTACTAATTTCTTTAGCCTTTTATTCTCTGAAGGTGAGTGTTCCACCTTTGCTTACAGGTTTTTTTTACCAATTAAACCAATTGAGAATAAAATTAAAGAAGGAATATTAATTCAAAACCATTCAAAAAAACTTTTTTGATGGCAATGTTAAAAGATACATTTGAATTGATTATTTCAGGATGAGAATTGGTGTTTTAACTGGTCCTAAACCAATTGTGGATAGAGTAAATTTACATATGCAGTGTTCAGTAATGCATGCCAGTGGTTTGTCAAAGGTATACATATATCACATTTTGATTAAAATACTGATCCTGTGTCCACACTTGGCTTTCAATGATCTCACAAGCTATTTTTTATGGCCCCGTCACAAAGTGGGTGGGGCCAAATAGTTTAATCCTTATCCGTCATTCCGTCATTCCGCAATGAACAGTTATACAGACTTTTTTCTAAACGCCTTCACATATTGAGCTGATTTTTAGTATGTGAGTCTACTATGATGAGTTTCAGATCGAAAACTAAACTACTCCCGTTTAGAAGATCTTTTCTGGACCCTCAGGATTTATAGTGATGATACATATTTTCATAAATGATTAAGATAGGAATTTTATCCATTATTGGTTGATGTACTGTAAATTCAGAAATTTTTGCGTGCATTTATTATTGCGATTTTTAAAAAATTAACAAAAATGCAAGTTTAACTTTTGCGAATTTTGGAAAAGCTACATACAGATATAAGTATTTGATATCAGAATGCGAGTTTTTATTATTGCGATACTCAAGTAGTCGCGTTATTCCCATTAATGAAAACCTCGCAATAATTTCTGAATTTACAGTAATAATTATCAAAACAGACAGTGAAACAAACATGATCAGATCTTTATAGGCAAAACTTGAATACAGGATCTTTTTTTCAATCAGATTGTCAATTAACCTGTTAAAAATTTGTTCATGCTAAAAAAGCCAGAAGTTGTCTTTAACAGGAGCTGATTTCTTTATACAGAATTGTTCAAGCATCAATTGCTCCTTTTCAAATAGAAAAGATGTAAACTGTGTGTGTGTATAGGCATACAAGTAGGTATATGGTCTCCTCTGTCAAATAAAAAACATTGTTGGCATCCATTTCTAAATGCAACAACATATTTTTATGACAAAATATAGGTCATCTTTTTTCTTTAAGAAACTTTGGAGTTAAGCTTGTAAATTCTTCTCAGGCTTAATTATCCCCCATTATTCATATCATAATTCATCAAATGAATGATTGCTTTAAAAGTAAAAAATTACAAAAGTGAAGTCATGAACTCTTGCTTAAATTGGCTAACATCAAAATCTTTATATTTTGTAAACTTGTAGATTATCTTTAATGACAACATAAAGATTGAACTTGATTTTAAAGATTACCCCAAAATCCTTCATTATAAGGAAGTTTCTGTTTGATGTTCATTTACTAACCTCAGAAGCGCAATTCAAATAGTTTTTTGAAATTAATTTGTTCAAAATCTATAATCACACAAACATTTAGCGGTAATTACTTTTGAAATTTTGAAATGATGTCTGCAGCCATTTCTCAGCAATTATTAACTGTACAGCTATATGATTCAGTATGCAGATGCCTTTATCTGAGACTGATCATAGCCATAAGAGGCAGGTCACATGTCCCTTATTCCATTATTCAATTGCATATACAGTTTTTGCTTAGTTTCTTTTTGTTTTTACCCAAATTCCCAACAAAGAAAAAAGTTACCTACAATCCTATTAATTGGTGTAAGGATGTTGTCATGCATATTATGGAATATAGCAGCCTCATACAAAAGTAGGTCATTTTGTCCTATCTTTTATGCTTCATTGACTGACTAAGCTGTACATCCTAGTTCAGATATCAGATTCCAAGTGACCTACAATTATAACTTCTTGTAAGGATGCATTTGGGGACTATACACAGGCACTTTCTCAGATTGTTTAACCTACATACCTGTATCATGTGTATATAACAAATTTATATAGGTTAAAAAATCTGAGACAAGTGCCTGTGGGACTATTTGTAATTTTTCATCAACAAACAGCAAGATAATATCTGCTCTTCTCAATAAATCGTGATGATTATGGATTGTTGTTTAACATCCAGTGGCAAATATTACATGCTTATCAGGACAAGAACATGTTAATGTGATACTCATATGAACTGTTCTTTGTACTAGATTGATTGTAACAGGCTCGTTTACAGAGTTTTAGCTGACAGAAAGACATGTTACCCTTCCCCATACATGTTTGTTTGACTGCAGTTTACAGAGTTTAAGCTGACAGAAAGACATGTCACCCTTCCCCATACATGTTTGTCTGACTGCAGTTTACAGAGTTTTAGCTGACAGAAAGACATGTCACCCTTCCCCATACATGTTTGTTTGACTGCAGTTTACAGAGTTTAAGCTGACAGAAAGACATGTCACCCTTCCCCATACATGTTTGTCTGACTGCAGTTTACAGAGTTTTAGCTGACTGAAAGACATGTCACCCTTCCCCATACATGTTTGTCTGACTGCAGTTTACAGAGTTTTAACTGACAGAAAGACATGTCACCCTTCCCCATACATGTTTGTTTGACTGCAGTTTACAGAGTTTAAGCTGACAGAAAGACATGTCACCCTTCCCCATACATGTTTGTCTGACTGCAGTTTACAGAGTTTTAGCTGACAGAAAGACATGTCACCCTTCCCCATACATGTTTGTCTGACTGCAGTTTACAGAGTTTTAACTGATAGAAAGACATGTCACCCTTCCCCATACATGTTTGTTTGACTGCAGTTTACAGAGTTTAAGCTGACAGAAAGACATGTCACCCTTCCCCATACATGTTTGTCTGACTCCTAGAAGACCAATCTTTGCTCATACCTCTAAATGTGTGTGCTCATCAGAGAAGCAGCAAATACCAATTTTCAAATCTTTGTTTTGACCTGGCTTGTGAACAAACCTGAGGCAAACACAATGACCTCCAATGTCATTATTTGTAACCTTTGTATCTTAGTTTACTGTTTGACATTTCCCTCCTTTATCACTTCAATCACACTACATGATTCCAGACACACTAACCTTTCAGATTTTTACAGAACATCAATGGATTTGAAAGGTTATAAGTACACAAAATGTCAGCCTCACTAACCTTTCAGATTTTTACAGAACATCAATGGATTTGAAAGGAAATAAAGGACACCAAATGTCAGCTTCTACTTATATAATTATTTTTTTATAACTTCTTATTGTCCAACACCTAAACTGTGAAGTTTGAAATGCCATCCTCGTGCATGATGCATGTACCAAAAAAGATTTGTTCATTCAAAAAAGAATTTCTTAGAATATTTTTGTTTTAATTTTAGTCCTTGTTTTTCACAAGATATAAATCATGCTCTCAATTCACAAAATCATTTTGCATTGTAAACATAAGTTCAAAATTCTGAACATTGGGGCCATGATGGTTTTCTTGAACATGCTAAAAAAACAGCCACATGTTATGAAATGAAGAGAGACCTTTGTTTAATTTAAAATCAGCAGAAAAACATTTGAAAGGTTTGGAGTTTTCTTCAATATTTGTTTGTAATATAGAAATAAGGTAATGTGGTATGATTGCTAATTATAAAACTATCCATCAGAGAGCAAATGGTGAAGATAAAAGTAGTATTAGGTCAGCATATGGCCTTCAACAATGAGACAAACACATATATGGATAACAGGCTCCTGACTTAAGACAGTCACACAAAGAATGTGGCAGGATTAAACATTTTTGTGACAAATACTTGGTTTTATAATGAGTTGAAATATTGTTTGTAAGGATGTGTTTGCTAAAAATAAAATTGAGAATGGAAATGGGGAATGTGTCAAAGAGACAACAACCCGACCATAGAACAGACAACAGCAGAAGGTCACCAACAGGTCTTCAATGCAGTGAGAAATTCCCGCACCCGGAGGCGTCCTTCAGCTGGCCCCTAAACAAATATATATACTAGTTCAGTGATAATGAACGCCATACTAAACTCCAAATTGTACACAAGAAACTAAAATTAAAAATAATACAAGACTGACAAAGGCTAGAGGCTACTGACTTGGGACAGGCGCAAAAATGCTAGTCAAGTTTGTTATTTTGGATAAAAGATATTCGTCTGTAAGTATGACATAAAAAATAGTCACACCACAATGCTAAACTACTGTATAACCGATTTACCAACTCTCTGGATGAAATCCATTCAGTGTCTTAGAATTGGAAGTTTATTAAGGATTTTGCGCTATACACATGAATCCCTAATTTTGAATCCTACATACATTTCGTCTTAGGAACCCTAAACAATGTATATAGGAATACTATTCACATTAAAGAAGAGCTCTGAGTTTTGCTCAAACCAATCCATTGGCTTGGGAGGAGTAATTAATTGCAGATATATCACTGTACAGGTTAATTGTAAATGTGACTCTTACTTAAATATCTGAAAAACCCTAGATACAGAATCAACAACTACATTGCATATTTCAGAAGTTATTTATTTTAAATAAACTCTATAAGAATTTTGTGTAGAGATATATATTTCAGATATTCATAAAAGAGGGAAGTCTCAAAATTTTGACTGTACTTAAGTATCACCTTAGGAACCCTTTATATCTTCAACCACACTACATGATTACAGACACTAACCTGTCAGATTTACAGAACATCAATGGATTTGAAAGGTTATAAGTACACAAAATGTCAGCCTCACTAACCTTTCAGATTTACAAAACATCAATGGATTTGAAAGGAAATAAAGGACACAAAATGTCAGCTTCTACTTATATAATTTTTCATTACAACTTCGTTATTGTCATCATTGTCTAACACCTTGACTGTGAAGTTTGAAATGCCAACCTCATGCATGACCCATGTACCAAAAACGATTTGTTCATTCAGACAATATTTTCTTAAAATAATTTTGTTTTAATTTTAGCCTCTGTTTTTCAAAAGATATAAATCATGCTTTCAATTCACAAAATTGATTTGCATAATAAACATAAGCTAAAAAATCAGTGTTTTTTATAAAAAAAAACTTATCCAAATTTTTAAAGATGACATTATGACAATCTGCCATTTGAAAAATATGGGAACCAAATTGTACTTTGACCTTTTTCTTATGTTCAATGTCAATATTTGTCCTAAGATATACATTGAGTCTGATTTTAAAATGTACATGAATTAGGCAGTTTAGTGGTATTATAAGATTATTTAGTATATTTTTTTTTTCTTATCAAACAAAAAGACAGACGTAGGTGTTTCATTTCATAGTCATTTATGCCACATTAATTGGATTTCAGTTAAAAGCAAAGAAATATAGGCAACTGATTAGAATTTTGAATATTTTTTCCCTTCGAAATAATTCAGAGGAGCAATCGGAAAAATACATGGCAAGGTTTATATCTCTAAATCTTAATCCTGAGCATTGGTGAAATTGTTACTTTTTCTTTATATTTTATCTTCAAAATTTAATAGATATTTTTTGTCCAAAAAAATGCAGTTTAATTTAATTATAAACTTGATCTACAAAAATAGTGAATCTATAGACGACTTTTGAATTCGTCCACTTTCCTGTACATTTCCTATGTCACAATGCTTATCTTATTACATCACAGTGGAACCAATTGTTCATTGATGCCATTTACACCATAAATCATTCTTAAAAAACAACTTGAGATTGGTTTATAGATTATGTTGCCTCATATAGAATTGTACATATGTAACATACAATTCTTTTTGTTGTAGGTGTTCCTCATCAAACTGTTTGAACATTGGGGTCATGATGGTTTTCTTGAACATGCTGAAAAAACAGCTGCATTTTATGAAATGAAGAGAGATCTTTGTTTAAAATCAGCAGAAAAACATTTGAAAGGTTTGGAATTTTTATGCCCCCGCCGCTGAGGGGGGGGCAATAAGTGTTACCCTTGTCCATCCGTCCGTCCAAAAATTAATTTCCGTTCTCTAACTTAATTTAGTTTACCTCAACCAAGTGTTATGAAACTTATACACAGTGCTTTTTACCACAAAACACAGATCAAGTTTGAATTTGGGTGGAGTCACTTTTACTGTTCTGTAGTTATGTCCCTTTCTAACGTCAATGCAAGTGGGGGCATAATCGTTGTCCCATGGACAACCTCCATTTATCTTCAATATTTGTTTGTAAAATATATTTCATGTAGCCTTAGAACTGCAACAAGAAATAACCTTTCCTATAGAAGCGAGTACAAACAACATAAGTGAGGGTCTGGATGGAACAACATAAGTGAGGGTCTGGATGGAGTCCATAATTTCTTTATTCTTTAACAATTTTTTAGACCATTTAATTTTCTCTATTTTTATTTCTCTTATACATTATTCTCTATTCTTAATTGTTAGCCCTTTATTCTACACTTTTTGCCCATTATTCTCTATTCTGTAAACCCCATAAAGACCCTCAAAAGTAGCAATTAAGAGTTAGTTTTATAATAATTTGGAATATCCTTTGAATTGATATGTTTGCAAGTCTGGTTGTTAGGGGCAAGAGATACTCATCTGTTAGTATGGTATATAAAAAATACTGTAAACCAACTTATTTCTGCAGATACTTTGTTTTGTGTTGAGGCATTTCCAGCCAACTTCACTGTGATTTATTTTTCTGATTCTCTAATTTTTCTTGATGTATATATGGAAATTTAAAAAATTAAATTAGAGTTTATACATATTTTGATGAATTCCTAGGGTATGTACTTTCCCTGGTTTTATTTTCTTAATGATAAGGTCAGCTTGACAGCTTGGCAGTTTTGTTTTAATTAAGAGATTATGGGATAGGTGTTAGATCATAGATAGGAAACAGCATGATGACAGCATGGGTGTAATCAGAGAACATCTGTATATAATTTTGAAAGGATGGTCAGTTGTCGTTTGAGCATTGCACTGTTAGCAGTCATATTTTTACTTGTGGAAAATTAATTCAGGGAAAATCTAAGTTTTACATATTCGCAACTATTTATATTCACATTATTTTTCTACTCACGAATTTCTCAAAAAAATCATTGGCATTAGTTGGTTAACAGTAGTCACATCATTATCCTTAATTACTGTATAATTGATTAACCTACTGCTTGGATGAAATCCATTCAGTGGTATAGGAATAAGGTAGCAATACACAGTTAGGAAAAAAACTTATAATTGACACTTATAATTTTTAACCACCCTCTTTCCCTTGCTTTCTAACAAATAAGGCCTAAAGTTTGTGTTATGTATGTGCATATGCATGGAAACAGAATCTTCCATAGATTTTATTTCCAATAGTTAAAATGGTGAAATATAATCTCTTTTTGGTGAAACCATGATAACAATCTGCATTTATTTGATACAAAATATTGCAAAAAGGGGGGTGAAAATGTCACAAAAGCCTCCAAAATTTGGTCCAAAGTGTGATTTCAATCCATTAGAGTGTTACCTTTTCTGAAACCATTGACATTTATCTATCTTAAGGTCAATAAAAATCATGTGCATTTCACCTCATTTTTCCCTAAAACTGAATTGAAAAGTTCGAGGGTCAAAAATTTGTGGATGTGAAAATACGGACTGTTAAACAGAAAATGGCCTATAAAACATGCAAAAAACAAATTTGGTGTTCATATAAACCCACTTTGAAGGCTATATTATTCTTCAGCTATCTAAAAATGTATTTTATTGCACAATAACTTTCCTATTTGAAAAATTCACAGGGGCCAAAATGCGAAACTAAATTCATAACTGTGTATTGCTACCTAAAGTTTATAACAGATATTGCACTATACACATGAGTTCCAAATTTTGACCTCTACATGCATTTTGTCTTAGGAACCCTTAATAATATATATAGGAATACTATTCACATTAAAGAAGAGCTATGAGTTTTGCTTAAATCAATCCATTGGCTTGGGAGGAGTAATTAATTGGTGATATATCACCAATACAGGGTAATCTTAAATGTGACTCCTACTAAAATAGCTGAAAAACCCCTAGATGTAAAAACTAAATACAGAATCATCAACTACACTGCATATTTCAGAAGTTATTTATTTTAAATGAACTCTATAAGAATTTTGAATAGATATTATTCATATATAGATTACAGATATTCAAAAAAGAGGGAAGTCTCAAAATTTTGACTGTAATTAAGCATCACCTTAGGAACCCTTTATGATGATGATGTATTAGTGTTTAATGTCCAGTGGCAAACACAACATGCATATCAGGACGAGAACATAAAATGAACCCTGCTGTGTACAGGACTGACATGCTGAGCCAGATTTTTAATATCCTGGATAACAAGGTTTACAGTTGGCAGGAAGACATGTCAATCTGCCAAGATTCATTATTCTAACTCCTAGCTTCAAAATACACATGAAAGCAGAGAAACAGCGAATATCAATTATTTAGTCTTTGGTTTGAACAGGGGAGGTATCAAAACCACAACCTCTAACTCTAGGCCAGCTCCTGAGACCACCCATGAGATTAACCCTATACCAAAAAACCTTATTTAGAACAATACTTGTAGAATAAGTAAATACAAAATTTGTAAATTTCTCCAAGAGTTTTTGAATTAATTTAAATCAATGAATTGAAGATTATCTTTTTGACAGAAGAATAAAGGATATATTTAGATGGACATTATCTAGTTTTAATCTGGATGATAGATAGTTTCATTTTCAGATGTTTATAAAAAAACTGTAGTTTTGTCTCATTTAGAAAATTTGGCTAATTATTATGACATACTTTAAAAAATTAGTTGAAAAGCACCAGTCACAAATATTATAGGTAGGATTGGTAAAAATATTTGTACTTTTATAATGTCCAGCAAATGTATTTTTTATCAGACATTCCAACCTTTTGTAAACCTTTAAAATATGGTAGGCAGGAGGTATTTCTTGTCTCATGGTGTGAATTGAATTGAATAAAATTTGATAACAAAGTGAAGGTCAAAAATTATTTTAATGTAGTTTTGCACCAAGGAACATTTAAAGAGTAATGGAATGCTGAACTTTTGAAATTTGATATGTGATATGCTACATGTATCAGGTATACAAACAACCAGGTAAAATTAGCATGTTTTTTTTAAAATTTTATTAGTGTCCATGTATGTGATAAAAGTACAGTGAAACTTGTTTTAAGAGACCAATTGAGGGTGAGCAAAAAAGTGGTCTCATAAGATAGTTGCCCTTTTAATACAGGTTCAATCTATATGAAATGCACTACAGAGACGTAAAATAAATAGTCTTATAATGCAGGTTTTTGCATTATACTGGTGGTTTCTAAAGCAGGTTTGACTATTTATAAGTGTATATGAAAAAAAATGAATAATGAAAATCTATATTTCAGGTCTAGCAGAATGGTCAGTACCAACTGGTGGTATGTTTTTGTGGTTGAAGCTGAATGTAAAGGACACTAAGAAAATGATAGAAGTTAAAGCTAGGGAGAAGAATGTCCTGTTTGTTCCTGGTAGTGCTTTTATGATTGACCAAACACAGCCATGTTCATATATCAGAGCTTCCTATTCTACGGCAACACCAGAAGAGATAGATCTGGTAATTGTTCAAAACTTTGATATGTTTATCCAGATGGTTAAGTCCTGTAAAAAAGGACCAATTAAACCCAATAATTAAAGAACAATTTAACCACCAATTCAGTCAGGATGACTTTTTGACGAATAAGTTTGACATAACATCATAATTAGAGGAGAGTTATAAAACAATTTAACATGCAGTGATATAATTTTTTGGTAAATATCATAGGATAACTTGTTAGTAAGGTCATATCTGTCCATACTTTTGTCCATCACAAATTTTGTCAAAAGAAAAATCTTTTAAAATTAAAAAAAAATGAAACAAACTTGAGCAGAATACTTCACTAACTTTTCTTTATTGTAGTTGTGATCTATTTATTTTTTAATCATTTGGGCTTTTTTATACGACCACAAAAAAATTTTGCGGTCGTATATTGGTTTCAAGTTGGTGTCGTCGTCGTACGGCGTCGTCGTCGTTTGAAGACACAATGGTTTTCACACTCTAACTTTAGTTTAAGTGAATGGATCTCTATGAAATTTTACCATAAGGTTCAATACCACAAAAGGAAGGTTGGGATTGATTTTGGGGGTTATGGTACCAACAGATAAGGAATTAGGGGCCAAAAATAAGCATTTTTGTAACTTCCAGACATAACTTATGTGTTAGTGTATGGATCTCTCTGACATTGTACCAAAAGGTTCCATATCACAAAGGGAATGCTGGGATTGATATTGGGGGTAATTGCCTCAAAATTTTAGGAATTAGGGGCCAAAAAAGGGGCAAAAAAGAAGCATTTTTCTAGTTTCATGACAATAACTTGTGTGTAAGTGTATGGATCTTTCTGAAATTGTACTACAAGGTATCATATCACAAAGGGAAAGCTGGAATTGAGTTTGGGGGTAATTGCCCAATAAGTTTAGGAATTAGGGGCCAAAAAGGGGCAAAAAATAAGCATTTTTCTAGTTTCCAGACAATAACTTGTGTTCAAGTGTATGAATCTCTCTGAAATTGTACTGCAAGGTACCATACCAAAAAGGGATGGCTGGGATTGATTTTGGGGGTAATTGCCTCAAAATTGTAGGAATAAGGGGCCAAAAAGGGGAAAAAAACAAGCATTTTTCTAGTTTCAGGACAATAACTTGTGTGTAAGTGTATGGATCTTTCTGAAATTGTACTACAAGGTTCCATATCACAAAGGGAAAGCTGGGTTTGAGTTTGGGGGTAATTGTCCTAAATATTTTGGAATTTGGGGCCAAAAAGGGGCAAAAAAACAAGCATTTTTCTAGTTTCCAGACAATAACTTGTGTTCAAGTGTATGGATCTCTCGGAAATTGTACTGCAAGGTACCATGCCACAAGGGAAGGCTGGGATTGAGTTTGGGAGTGATGAATGATAAGGGGGTTCAAAAACTGGGGGGGGGGGGGGGGGGGGGGTTAAATTTTAAATTGGTTATTTCTGATTTATATATAAAAGCAAATAATAATGATATGGTTTGAATAGGTAAATTAAAAATTTTTAAGTTCTTAGACCACATTCATTCTGTGTCAGAAACCTATGCTGTGTCAAATATTTAATCACAATCCAAATTCAGTGCTGTATCAAGCTTGAATGTTGTGTCCATACTTGGCCCAACTGTTCAGGGTTCGACCTCTGCGGTCGTATCAAGCTGTGCCCAGCGGAGCATTTTATTTTTTCTCATAGCAATACATTGCCATTACCATTTCAACATATTGAGATTTTGGTCCATGTACAATATCATATTGTTATGATTGGAAAGAAACATAATTTAAAAAAAAATACTTTATACCTTGTGTAGCATCTTTTCTTTTTTTTAATATATTGCAATACATTTTGACGTTTAAGGAAGTTGGTCAATTCAGAATGACTTATGTCCTACATTGGAATGGAACCAAGTTGAAGTAATATTTTAAATCATGTATAATTAAGCACCTCCTATTTTAATTCTTGGTGGAATTTACTGTTTAGGGTTTTCTCTTGGGAACCAAACATGGACTTTGTGTTTTTTACCTATGAGGGACATTATCAACAACAATCTTTTATAGACTGCATAAATTGATCTGAATCAGATTTTTTTTTTTTTTTATTTGCTATCCTTTAGTGGTTTCTTGGACATGTGGGCAACTTTAGTTAATGTGTCAAAAAAAAATTAATTGCCATTTAGTCCAAGTAAAATAAATTGTTCAAATATTATACATCAAATTGATTGAACTGGTGACCAATAATTAGTGAACCCTTCACAAGACCCCTTCATGTCATGTTAGATTTTAATGGATCGGGGAGCGGTTATTTGTGATTCAACACTATTTATGTCTCATACGTCTTTAATTCATCAGAGGGAGACATTGTATTACTGTTTGTTAAACTATGATTACCATGAGATGTTTACAAAGGCTGCATGTTCATTTTCTAATTTAATTATCATACATGTAGACAATTTTGAAATTCTAAAGTATTTTACCATAGGATCACACAACAACAAAAAACAACAGAAAAAAACCCATAAATTGTATAAGTACAAATGACAGAATAAGAGAATTACATTTACATTACATTTACATTACATTTACATTACATTTATATTACATTACATTTAATTTACATTACATTTACATTACACTATGTCATATTGATATTTTATTTTAGGCATTTAAAAGACTGGCAGATCTGATAAGAGAAGAAATGAAAGATTCTGACTAAGGTTTCAAATATTCTAGAAGTACATATGCAGTTTTATCTAGGTGTATGCAAAATTAAGAAATATTTTATGTTTAAAAATCAAGAGTGAGTAATGATTCATATTGCATCCAAAGATGGCATATTTTTTAATATTTATTTGGAAAGAAAATTAAATTGTTTTATATGAAATGTGTTGGAAAATAAATCTTAATCAGATGACTTAGTTGTTTATATATTATCTGTAATTTAGAGCTTGAAATAATTTCAATGTTTATGTTTGATATTTTCATCAATTCAAATTTTAATTTCAAAAGATAATTTTTTTCTCAATTCAATTTCTGTTTTTTGTTTGTGTATATATATTTAACTTAAAATAGCAGCATACAGTTTTTCTAGTTAGAAAAAAAGGAAATGACTTTTTTGCAATTTGGTACCCACAAATAGTGAGATGACGAGATACATTTTATTTTCAAAGTTTTGTTTATATGATTGTATTTCTTTAGTATTCATTGTAAGAATGCAATTAAAAATCTAACCAACATGTAATAGCAAAGTGAATTTACAAAACGTTTCTTGTTTCTTGCACAATTTTCATACCAATATTTCAAAGAAAAATGTGTAATATTCTTGTATTGAATCATACTATAGGGAAAGTGCCAGGCTCTCTTATTATTATAGAACTCTTGCAACAACTCTTTGAAAGGTCCATTGATGGCCTCTTGCAAGGCAAAATGTCTGCCCCATCCACCATACCACTGTTTTCAAGTGGCAGACAGAATTTCTTCCCCATACACCATGCCACTGTTTTCAAGTGGCAGACAAAATTTCTGCCCCATACACCATACCACTGTTTTCAAGTGACAGACAAAATTTCTGCCCCATTCACCATACCACTGATTTCAAGTGGCAGACAGAATTTCCAGCCCTTCATCCTTGCAGAACCTTACTTTTGTATCAATTGCTAATAGCTTCTCCTCCTCATTATGCATGAAATAATACACCTTATTGCCATTTGTCCACCATTACTGGACATCACAAAGGTTCCCGTAAAATTTTGACAACACAATAGAAAATATCTGATGCCACAATGTAAAAGTGATTGTTGTATGACGTCAAAAGTTCAAGCAGCGCAGATTCTCGGGTCAACCGGCGCAGATTTCCAAATAGTGATAAGGTGTATTGCCACCTTACGTTGAGCAAGCAACAATCAATCCAATAATATTCCATATACTACACAAAATAGTGGTGCTTTAACATTCTTCCATTATAATTGATCTGGTTATTGCATACTTGATTTAAGTAAGACATTTCTCTCTTTCTCTCTCTCTGTAAAATGTTAATATATAAATATATAAACACCAGCACTATTAAAAGTCCAGTCTATACAATGGTGTTCCTTACATATACATTTGTATGACAACCTAAGTGTAATTTCTTTTTCTGATGCCTGTTGTTTGATACCAAAACTCATTTTCTATGTGTAAATTTCTTATTTTTGTAAGGATAGTATAGAGAAAACACATTTATCAGAAAAGAAAGAAATCATCTGTTATTCATATTGACAATAGAATGTTTAAAATATGATATTAGAGGATATATTTTGTCCACTTTAAAGATACAAAAAGACCAATTACTTGTCAGAACCTGTGTCACATGATGCTGTATAGAAGAATATCCTTCAGTGCCTTCAAGTTGAGAAAGTTCTCAAGCAAAGATTTTCGTCATAGCTACACCCAATCAAAACTCCTGAATAGGTAGATCCCATGGTAAATAAGAACATTCTCAGACACTGCCAACAGATATAACTTTTAATAGCCAGATTTGCTAGGTGTTAAGTTTTCAGCTCACCGTTCCGAAGGAACTGTGAGCTTTAGCCATCACTTGGTGTCCCTCGTCGTCGTCTGTCTGGTGTAAACTATTTCAAACATCTTCTCCTCAGAAACTACTGAACCAATTCCAACCAAACTTAAGCTGAATGGTCCTTAGGGTATATAGAATAAAGTTTGTGTTTTATTTTCTGTTTTGTCAAAAGACATGGCCGCCTGGCTAAAATTAGAACATAGTGGTAAAAATGCAGTTTTTGGCTTATATCTCAAAGCAGTTAGAGCAAATCTGACATGGGGTAAAAGTGTTCATAAGGTAAAGTTCTATCAGCCATTAAATTTTCAGATGAATCTAATAAACCATTGTTGGGTTGCTACCACTAAATTGGTAATTTTAAGGAAATTTTGCAGTTTTTGGTTATTATCTTGAATATTATTAATAATAAAGATAAACTGTAAACAGCAAATATGTTCAGCAAAGTAACATCTAAAAATAAGTTGATATGACCAAAATTGTCAATTGACCCCTTAAAAAGTTATTGCCCTTTAAGGACAATTTTACACAATTTGTTTATCATGTTTTCTATCTTTAAAAAATCTTCTCCTCTGAAACCACTGAACTAATTCCAACCAAACTTAAGCTGAATGATCCTTGGGGTATCTAGAATAAAGTTTGTGTTTTATTTTCTGTTTCGTCAAAAAACATGGCCACCATGGCTAAAAATAGAACATAGGGGTAAAATGCAGTTTTTGGCTTATATCTAAAAAACCAAAGGAGTTAGAAACAAATCTGACATCGGGTAAAAGTGTTCATTTGGTGAAGTTCTATCAGCCCTGAAATTTTTAGATGAATCTAATAACCCATTGTTGGGTTGCTGCCCCTAAATTGGTAATTTTAAGGACATTTTGCAGTTTTTGGTTATTATCTTGAATAGTATTAATGATAAAGATAAACTGTAAACAGCAAATATGTTCACCTAAGTAAGATCTACAAATAAGTTTTATGACCAAAATTGTCAATTGACCCCTTAAGGAGTATTACCCTTTGAGGACAATTTTACACAATCTGTTTATCATGTTTTCTAACTTTAAAAAATCTTCTCCTTTGAAACTACTGAACCAATTCCAACCAAACTTAAGCTGAATGATCCTTAGGGTATCTAGAATAAAGATTGGGTTTTATTTATTTGTTTTGTCAAAAAACATGGCCGCCTGGCTAAAATTAGAACATAGGGGTAAAATGCAGTTTTTGGCTTATATATCTCAAACACTTAAGCAATTAGAGCAAATCTGATGAGAGGTTAAAATGTTCATTAGGCCAAGTTCTATCAGCCATGAAATTTTCAGACGAATCTAACAGTCCATTGTTGGGTTGCTGCCACTAAATTGGTAATTTTAAGGAATTTTGCAGTTTTTGGTTATTATCTTGAATAGTATTAATGATAAAGATAAACTGTGAACAGCAAAAATGTTCAGCAATGTAAGATCTACAAATAAGTTAATATGACCAAAATTGTTAAATGTGTCCTTAAGGAGTTATTGCCCTTTAAAGACAATTTTTCACAATTTGTTCATCTAGTTTGCCTACTTTAAAAAATCTTCTCCTTTGAAACTGCTGAATCAATTTCAGCCAAACTTGGGTTGAATGAGTTTCAGAGTATCTAGTATAAATTTTGTATTTTATTTTCTTGTACCTCAAGAAACATAACCACTATGGCTAAAATGGAACATAGGGGTAACATGTATTTCTTTGCTTTTGAAGAAAATATGACAGATACAAAGAACATCTCAATGGAATTTTTAAGCCACTCATTAATATATATTAAAAAGCAAAAATAATCATTGATGAAAGATTTAAGCAAAAAATTACAGGTGAGCGATTCAGGCTCTTGAGAGCTTCTTGTTGCAGTATACATATGTATAGCTATGCCTTACAAAAATAAGTGATTTCATGGGAAGACTGAAAGATCACCATTATTTTTTAATTAAAAAATGTTTATTTGAGAAAAAAAAAACAATATATAAAATAATCCCAAATTTGGTCAAAATGCAAACTTTGAATAACATTGACTGAAACCTATTGTTAGTTATACTTTACTTATATCAATAGGCATCACCTTTATAATTCAATGACAAATTGACAAAGTTCAACTTGGAGGACATGAGAAAAAGTAACTCAAATCTGTCCAAAATAGAAGGTGTATTTGACTTACACATGACACTAACTAGGTACCATTTATTATGGAACGCCACAGCTGTCTTATGTGATACTCTGATATTACGTAATCTTGTTTTATTATTACTTGATGATATTTTGTCTTTACATAATATGGTTTTGACATTACGTAATGATGTTTTGATATAACCCAATATGGAATAGTCATTACTTAATGATATTTCGATTTTACGTGATATGGTTTCGTATTGACTTGATATGGTTTTTTCATTACTTAATATGGTTTTGTCATAATTCGATGTGATTTCATCATTATTTAATGTGGTTGTGTCATTAGGCAATGTGGTTTTATTATTACTTGATGTGTATGTGGCTTAACGTTATGTATTTGTTTCATTGCATGATGTGGTTTTGTTATTTCGTAATGATGATTTGCCAATTCTTCATATGGCTTTAACATTACATAATGATGGTTCAAAATTTGAAGATTTTACACAACATGATGTGTTTGTTCCTGTATTTGATGTGTTCCTGTCATTCTTTGATGTTGTTATCACATTACTTGATGAGGTAAAGCCTCGTGACCATTTTGGAAAAAAATTAGTTCTATTTCTAGACCGATTTCCATATGTCGTTTGTTTAAAGTGCTTCGGATGAGTGTCGCTATCCAGTGAATTAAAGTTCGAGTTGTTGTTCAGAGTTGTTTGGTATGAAAAAGGGGAACGGCAGACAAAAATAAGAAAAAAATTACAAAAAAAATATCAATATTTCGGACATAAGGGAGATATCCCCAAACCACTTGGTACTGCCGTTTTTTTTTTTCCATTTAATTCTCAAATGGAAGCAGTATTACAATAAATTCGTGAAGAATTCCATTGAACCCTATGTCTCGCCTGAAATTGCTGCTGTCATTGTAAAAGTGTAATGTTGACTGTAAAACGTCCATTTATCGGTAAAAAACAAAATTAAAAAAAAAAAGGTTTTTCTGTTTATATGCTTTATCTCGATATAGAAGATTACTCCTATACAAGTTTTATAACAAGTCATGGAGGTTTACAAATTTATCATGACAAAATAGTTTAATTTGATAATATTTAATGCAATTAAAACTTATATAAAATAAGAAGATGTGGTATGATTGCCAATGAGAAAACAATCCACCACATACCAAATGACTTAGCAGTTAACAACTATATAATATGTCACTGAAGGGTCTT